AACACTTTAACTCGAATTGTTTGTCGGTACAGTAGATCCGTGTGGTTGGTGACCCATTCGTAGAGTTTCTCTCCCCGTTTAATTAGTCGCTGCCCTCCCCCCCCCCGCCCCCCTCCCATGCGCTCTTGCGTCGAACCGTTATCGATATTCCGGTTCGACGCAAGAGTTGGAAAGAATTTTTCAGAGAGGCTAAAACTCCTCGATGCATGCTACCCGGGGGGTGATGGTGGCTGTTTTTACGCATGTGTGTTATAGTTTTCTCGCAAGCCAGCACGAGTGTACAGCAAGGGGCGCTCCTGGTACGAGAGAGACAACGAGGACGACTTATATTACTGATCGAAAATACTTTGTTTCTAGCGCGTCCGTGACTTGCATGATTCCAGGTGACTAAGCCATTTGCTAATGAAAATCCGATGCTCGAAAGGGCATCGGATATCACTTTCAGCTTTATGAACACGCCTCGCAGAACTAACGATGTGTATCCATGAAACGAACATTTTAATTACTTTGCTTTCACTTTTTGCATGACCGTGCAGCTTCCCCCGCGTACCGTGCATAATCGGGCCTTACACGCTTAAATAATATCCAACTGGTTTCGCGTTCCCGGCATTGCCGAGCATCCCGGAATCCTCGCGAGTCTCGAAAATCATCTGGAAATCGCGGGAAATGCCCGAAAATCCCCGAGACATTTTGCTCCGCGCGAAAACAGCGAGACCTGTCTCGGCTTGGCGTCTACGTACATGTAAATAGACCTACGAATAAACGGACAGAGGACAGATTAATTACGATAATGGTATCAAAGTCTACGCCGCCTGTTCTCGGTGCTTCTCCAAGTTAATCGCGCCAATTGCTCGCATCCACGAACGCGACCGCGTTTCACACGACTCGCGGACATTGCGTTACTTGTGATATAGTACGAGCTATGTATATGCGACAAGCTGTTGTTTTTGTGAACGCTATCCTCGCGGAAACTGTGTTACCCTAGGTTCCAACAGGCTTTTGACGGTTTGTTCGCAGTTGAACTCGAGAGTGCGATTCTTCGGTGGATTGGGCGGTGGTTCCGATCTTCACCGAGACTTTCACAGTACGCCGGACTTAAACGTGCAGGTGCAGTCGTCTATTTTAGCTCCGAAAGGGCACAGGAGCCAGGAGGACGTAAACGCGTTGAATGGCAGAAACGGGCTTCCACCACCGAACCATCCGCCACCTCCGCCACCGGTCGGGCAAGTCGTCAAAGTGAACGTGGGCGCGAACGTGCCGGACGTAGTCACGCCGGCTTCTGTGTACGATAATATGGCTCATATACAGCAAGTCAAAGGTACCGTATATCGCGAGGATATTTCGACGCGGTTACGACCCAGTCGTACGTTACTTCCCGATAAATTTCAATGCCCGGCAGCCAGCCTCCGCCTCTGTTCCGAGTTGCCCCGGATAATCGTGCTTTTCCCTCCTCCATTCAGAACTGGCAGCCGCGACAGCAGACGGAGGTTACGGCGTGATGTCCAGCTTTCGACCTTCGAACAGCGCCAAGCTCTACGCCTCGCCGGAAGACATGAAGACGGTTGGATACCGTTCCCGCAGTTTGCCAGCGCACACGACCCGTTGCCACGTGAGGAAGTCGCACAGCTTGCGCACCACCAACAACACGACGTTCAAGCCGTTGAACAATCAGCAGAACGTGAACAGCGCAGTGAGCAACAACAACCAGGTGAACAACAATCAATCGGCCAACAACCAGTACGCGCAGCCTCTGAAGACCAACAGAAGCCACAGCACGGTCGGCATCAGGGAAAGGAAGAAGAAGGGCATCAGTACCAGTTCCTCGATCACGAACCTCTCGTCCGTGGCGAACAACAATGCTGGAAACACGGTGACGAACGCAGCGCCGCCTATCCCGGAACCGGATTACAGCCTGTCCGAGTCGGAGAACGACGAAGGGGAGGAGGAGACCGACGACGACGGAGAATCGGAGATCGCGAAGGAACTGGAGAAAGCGGCTGCGAGAGAGAAGCTGGAATCCACGCGAGAAACGTCGGGCAACTCCAACACTTCCGGCTCGAGTTCGTCCGGCAGCAGCTCGTTGCCGCATTCGTTCAGCGTCGAGGAGATTCAGAAGGTCAGGACGCAGTTGAAGTCGTCGAAGAGCCATCCGAACGACTTCCTCTTGCAACAGACCCAGCAATCCCTCGCCGAGGACGGTGACAACAGCTCGAGCGGGGTGAGCTCCGATCAAGACGTGCCGGTTGGTCCACCCACGGGTTTCGACGATACGGCCGCGAGGAATCTTGCTAACGAAGCTGCGCAGCATCCGACCACGGTGCTCTCGGTGAGCAGCGTGGAAAAGGAGGCGAACCCGAAGAGAACGAGCTACGGTGGTAGCGGATTACTGACCCGACACGCGGTGAGCCTGGCCCAGTTACCGCCGCCGATCGAAGCGGATGCCGAGGAACAGAGCAACGACCTGTTCGTACCACCACCGCCAGAGTTCAACGCGGGACCGTCAGCGGGCAACGGGGACGAGCTGGTATTTGCCCCACCGCCTCAATTCTGCGACAACAAGCAACAGCCGCAACAACAATCGCAGCAGCAGCAGCAGCAGCAGCAACAGAATCGCGTGAAGATCATCGGGGCGATACCGAAGGTTACCAACAATCAAGTTAAAGCTTCCGGTGGACGGTTGCATAACCAGTGAGGAAGAATGGTTGCGAACGATCGCCGATGAACGGACGTTTCGAGTCGCATGATCGTGGATCACGATTTAACAGAGTCAATTTAATCTTTCCGTATTAACCTTTCTCCATTCGAGATAATTGTGTACGCACACCGCGTTGCGCGTGATCCCTGGGTATCATCGATGTTCCGTCATCGAGCGGACGATTAAGCGGACGCTCGTTCGAACGCGAGGCAAATATACACACGCGATGCGATTGTTTGCAATAATTATTTTCACCGACAACGTTCCCCGCCCCCGCAGCACCGGAGCAGTTTTGTAAGGAACGAACGCGCGCGTCGTCTCTATCGTTAACTATCCATACTTCGATCGAGCGTCGTTTAGGTTGCTCTGTCAAGCGTCTGTGGTAGTCAAGTGAACAAGGTATTCAGTGAATTTTTACCATAAAACCTAGAATATGAATCGTACGAACCGCAGATAACGTTAGATTTAAAATGGCGTGCGTGCGATGCTTTCTACCTGCAAAGCGGTATGTCGCCACCCAGTTCGTGAACGTCAAAATCCCATAGCCGTCTCGTGGAATGGCCTAAAGAGGTGAACGAGAAAAAAGGATCTACAAACCGTACTGTAGTTCGTAATTAAACGGGACAGAGAGAAAGATAGCGAGCGCAAGAAAGAGAAAACGAGGAAGCGTGTGAGAGAGAGAGAGAGAGAGAGAGAGAAAAAAGAAGAGAAAAAGAATAATTCTATGCGGTGCGCGCGCGTATGTGTATGTATGCAAGAAACGTAGAGAATGAATGTGTAGCGTATATCGGTTTGTTTTTCATATTTCTATCGAAGTACGACGCGTGTTTAATACTTTTACATGTAACGATCTTTATCCGTAAACGTCATCAACTTCTCTCATTCCACCACGATACAAAACCAGAAGGAAAATGGCATTTTCGAGGGACAACGCATCGGGATGTTAGACCTTGTTGAAGCACGAATCGGTGCTGCTAATCGAGACCCGTCCGATACTTTTCCAGTATCGGGAACGATGTAGCGCGAACTCGAGGGTGTCGATGCGAAACGACGAATCGAAGATGCCGGATCAATGAGTTAGCTAGTAAAGCGCGCGCGCGCGTGCGCGTGCCGTTCAGTTCAATTCCGTTTTTCTCGTGTTTAGACACTGCTCAAGAGCCTAATTACAAAGTTCTACTCACAAAGTCATTAGAGATTGTTTCTAGTTTGTAATAACGAGTAATAGCATAACGACGAGTATAAATTTATCTCTAAGCTCGTAATCGCGTTAATAGAGGCGCACTGTACTACGTTAACGCACCAACATTATTCAGCTTGTAAGATAGATCGTATTCCTTCCATTTGAATCAGGCTCCTGAGAGCCGCGAGAGCTGTATCACAGCTTCTACGATGTTTCCTTCACTGAAAATAATGTTTGTTCGCTAAAAAAAGAAAAAGAAAAAATGAAAAAAAAAAAAAAAAGAAAGAAAAGAAAGGAAGAAGAAAAGAAGAAAGAGGAAGAAAGAGAAGACACGATATCCCTTATCCCCGTTGAACGGTTTCACGTCGAAAGAAAATCAAAAGTTGATCCTTTTCTCACAATCGAACAACCTGCGTTAATTTATCCTTTGTATATAGTATATAATTGATCGGCAAGAAAAAAATAAGGAAAAAGATCTCGCGACCCTCGGTGACACTGCTACATACTTGTATATATATACCGAACAACATTGCTACGTATTGAATATCTATAACGATGGAACGATTATTATCATCACTTTTATGATCACACCGCGATAGATTTAAGCGATATCCATGAAAGCAACGTCCTTCCTAATTATTGTTTCTATGCCTTTTCGAGTTAAATCATATTCATATACAAACAGTGAAGTATGATGTTAAGTCAGTGCATGCTTGTTGAAGCATGAATGAAACAGTTTTGAGTCGAAGGAAATCATATTAAAGATAAGTATTAAATGTTCCTTAAATATTTTATTGTTTGTTTTCGATCGGTAAAAACGAAAGATCGCTGATGCGTGTATATCGTTTCAAAAACTTGATCGACTGGTTGATTCGGGTCAGTAAAGCAATATTGTACGCATTACAACGGCTCGTGTAATAATAAACCGTTTCAAGAATAGAATTTTATCTTTGTTTGCGATCTTAAACAAATGGCATTGCCGATTACACTAATTTCCTCGTGCACGTGTTCGCGCAAACTTTGTTAGAAGCAAATATATAAAGATTCAGAGATATACGTTGAGTTTGCTGTGTCACGCACAGTTAGTGGTAAAAAGAAGAAAAGAAAAAAAAAAAAAAAAAAAAAGAAGCTATATCCTATACGTTGGATCATATTTTCCAAAAAGTACTCACGGTTTTCAGCCATTTTCTCGAGGAAACGTAATTCCACCGAAGATGCGTTTTCGAGATGTCCCTATTCGCAAACGTATTCCTTCGGGTCATCCAAAGGTCATTTAAAAGCTGCTCGAGGTTACTCGACGATCGTTCAAGGACACTTCAACGTCCCTCTTTATCATCTTTCGAAGGTCGTTTCACCGTTACGTTATATCAATCGCAGAAGTTGCTCTAGAAAAGAGAAAAAGAAAGATCAAATTTCAAAGGAGCTATGTTTTTAGAAAGTAGATAGTTCGGAAACCGACAAAATTTTCAAGATGGCCCAATAGTTACGACATTCCTGCCAAAACTAATTATAATAGTGCGTAATATATCAAAATTTATGGAAAAGTCGACAAATAATCTTTATACGCTCTCCGTAATGTTGTACTTTCCAATCTATCCGTTCCCATCGCTTTATTAATCACTTTGAAATGCTACGAACTCGCGCGACGTTATTCAAAAAATAAATTCGATTATCCGTGTCCTTAAAATCTATTACTAAACGGCTTTTACCTCGTTATACGAGACGATAGAATATTTTATAGCTTATTTGAGAAGAAAAACTTACGCGTAGCAACACTTGCATAATTATTTCTTCCTGAATGAAGACAGTATGCGAATCACCATTAACGGTGTGAAAATATAAACATTTCGAAGAATATTGAAAGAATCTAAATCGATTTATAAGATAAAAACCTGGATAGCTAAATAAACGTTTGTTATCTAGCTACAACGAATATATTGCAACACTTTCAATTTATTTATTAAAAATAAGCCTGAAAATTTAAGCTTCCGATATAATCACCATCAACGCAGATAATATTTCTGTGCATCTTACCGATGAAGTATGTGACTTACCTAACGTATTCAATGGCGTGCATGTACGTTTATTTTCGAAACAAGGATCTTACGTCGGTGTCATTCTAGATATGAAAGAACGCAACTCGTATTAAACTTTGAATAAGTTTTCTTTTGAATTTTTATTGCATACACCTATTTTAGTCGTTTATCCATATTCGATGCATTTCTCTTTACTCTTAGTTATCGTTCTACGAATACTATTGGTACCTTTTATACTATAATTACTGTATTATGAGTTACAAAATACGTGCAATTTCTCGATGATAAATAATAATCGATCATGTTCAAATAACGAAAACTGAATACTTTAATAAACCTCACTTATTCGTTTAAATGTTACGTGAATAATTTTATTTCTAATTTGTTATCTCATTTGAAAGTTAAATTTGACTAGCGTATAATAGAAAAGAAGTAATAGTGCGCCACATGTCACTTTGTTTAAGAAGGGAAAACTAAATTAAATTATAAAATGCAGCGCTATCTACTTCTATCCATGGCAACAATGATGTACACAATTTTAAAATTGATCGAAGTCTATTGAAACATAAACAACATGGCGAATAAAAAGAATATAACGTAACATGTAAAAGATATCATTTAATAAATTAATATTTTCATTATGCGCCATTACATTATTTTTATATATTATTAGGCGATTAGCCTTTGTAACTGTAACATTAAAAAGATTTGGTTCTAAAAAATGTCGACTGAGAAGGTAGGTTATATATTTACAGATTTCTGAGAAAAACTTTGCTTACTCGTTCAAATCTCTCAATGAACATTTAATAACTTAATCAAGAATGTACTTGTGTATTCAAAGTGTCTAAGAAGACGACAGTGATTATTTTTTTTATACATACATATGCTTATTTGTCAAATGTTTTGATGCAGGTACTTTACCAATTGTATCAACCTCATGGGTCTGGTACTGTATTTATTTCATGGCGCCCTGGTAATAGTACTCATTTAGCGACTACTGGTTGTGATTCCTCAGTTGCCATTTTTGATAGACAAGGTGATTTACAAGAACGTATTCAAATTGCTGGCTTATGCACTGGTTTTGGCTGGGATTCTGATGGAGATTTATTAGCTGTTATATCACAAAATTCTTCTGCTATCACATTATGGGATGCAACAACTGGGAAAAAGACACAAATAGATGCTGGTGTAAGGGATGGATTGACATGTATGATATGGGCAAAAAGGACTTGCTTATTAGCTGTAGGAACACAAAAAGGAAATTTAATACTTTATGACCATATAAATGCCAAGTATGGTATCATAGTGTTACCATTTAGAATACTCTTATGTATTATTATGTTACATGATTCAGTTACGAATTGATATATAGGCGAATACCAGTTTTGGGAAAGCACAAAAGAAGAATAACTTGCGGTGCTTGGTCTTATGAAGGCCTCCTTGCATTAGCCAGTGAAGATAAGATTTTAACTATCAATACAAGTGGTGGAGATACAAAACGCGAAATATCTCTTCAAGGTGATGCATCCGATATTCAATTTAATGAGATGAAAATGGATCACAGAGTTGGGGGTGAAAATACAGTATGATTTCTTCATAAGACAAATACATAGAATATGCTTAAGTTTATGTTATGTAAAGTGTTAATTTCTATATTGTTTATTAGGTGTCCCTTATTATCAATAAAACTGTTTTATTTCTATACAATATATTGGATCCAGAAAATCCTATTGAATTAGCTTTTCAAAAGCGTTATGGTCATATTGTTACTTATAAATGGTAAGCTGTAAATTATTAGAAAATTAGTTAAATTCGGTCATTTATCTTTACTATATATTGAATTACAGGTATGGGGATGGATACATCTTGGTCGGTTTTCAAACTGGCTATTTTACTGCAATATCCACACATATTAAAGAAGTCGGCCAAGAACTATTTCAAGTTAAGAATCATAAAGATATTTTGACTGATTTGGCCATAAGTCAAGTGATAGGAAAAATTGCTACATGTGGTGATAATACTATAAAAATACATAGTCTTCAGAATTTGGAAGAAACTGAAAAATTGATTACAGTAAGCGGTGAAATTGGGATTAGTACAGTAGAATGGTCAATGGATGGTACAATGATAGCAACTGTGACTTATAGTGGCAATGTTTTAGTTTATTTAATACAAATTCCTAAATTATCTAGTGTTTGTGGGAATAGAATTGCATTACTTACTAGTTTAACAGAAGTAGCCGTGCATCTATATACATTAGATAAGGTAGATACAAAATGTAAAATTCATAATTTTAGCCATATAAAATTATATGTAAAGATTTAAAATTAATTTCTAGGAAAAGTCAGACCCAATAATAATTAACACTATAATAGAACCATCTGTATTAACAGTAGGTCCGATGCATGCAGCAGTAGGGTTAAATAACAGAGCATTGTTCTGGGATATATCTGAAAATCACTATAATACTACAGTACACTTTGAAAGAGATTACCTTGCAACGATAGATAATATACGATTGAATGAAACTTATGCATCTGTTTTATTTGATGGCAAATTACAGTTGCACTCGGTAACAAGTATATTAAAATGCATATAAATTTATATGATAATATATTAATAAAGTGTTTATCTACTAACGTATTATTGTTATTTTAGATCAAAATGGATGAAACATTGATAAAGGAGGGAAAAGATACAAAAATGTTTCCAGGCTTAAATGCCTCAGACTTTAAAATAACGTGCCATGCTCTTAGTACTGATTTTTTAATTTATGGTAGTGATGTAAGTTCTTTTCAAAAGTATTTGAAATCCCAAATAAATACTGAAAGAACTAATTTACATTTATAATATATTTAGATGGGACACATAATATATTTTTGTCTAGAAGTTTTTAACCAATGTATCGAACATGTACATAATAATGGTATAAAGGAAATCTATTTAGATACAAATGGAACACAGTTGTGCTTTATTGATAATAAGTTTGATACTTATATGTACAATCCTGTGCAAGAAACTATTTTACAAATTCCTGATTGTCTGGACTGCATTCAAGGTATAATTTGGGATCAAAATATTTTGGAACGTAATATATTTGCTATTTACAATAAAAATGTCATTAGTACGTACATATTTGTAAAATATTTTATTGAAGGTAAGTCGAAACTTAAAAACCCGTATAATATAATTAAAGCAATTATCTTATGTATATTTTGGAAATAGGTACAAAAATTATAAAAATAAATACAACAAAACTGCCATCTGAAACATTACCGCTATTGATGTATTCTGGAGAGTTGACATTAAGTTCAACAAGTAACAAATTAATGCAGATTACGTTATCATCTCATGAAGATATAGGAAATACTGTAGAAAACATAAAAATAAAAGAGGTATTAGAAAATCAAATTCTTTGCAGAAGGTAAACATTTTACTTACTTTTTTTTATCTGTTATAAATAAGTCACTTATTGTCGTGTATTTTAGATTTCAACAGGCATGGAATACTTGTGAGAAAATTAACGAGAAGGAATCGTGGTTAAAATTAGGAGAAAGTGCAATTGCAAATTTAAATATAGATTTCGGTATTTCCTCATTTTTTCTTCTTCTTCTAATTGTTGTTGTTATTGTTGTTGTTGCTGTTATTAGTTTTACTATTACAAAAAATATATAATAATATATATACTTCGTTTCTAAATGATCATTTTCCATCACAGCAATTCGAATATATCGTTACTTAGAAGATGCTGCAATGGTTTGGGCATTACAAAACATGGAAACTATAGATGAATTACCATTGTTATGTGGACATGCATGTATCTTACTTGGTAATTACAATCAAGCAGAACAATTTTTTTTACAATCATCAGAACCTGTACAAGCCTTATATCTAAGAAGAGATTTAATGCAGTGGGAACAAGCATTGAACTTGGCTCAAAAATTGAAAGCTGATGAGATTCCTTATATTGCTAGAGAATATGCTCAACAATTAGAGTTTACGTAAGAATGTAACATTAAGTATGTAAGTTACTTGTGGTTAATAACTAAATGAAAAATTTTTTTCTAGGGGTAACTATCCAAAAGCATTAACAAATTACGAACGTGGATTAGTAGACTCAAATAATATATCTAATGCAACCATGCATAATCCACTCCACAAAAATCTGTGCCTCGCTGGGATTGCAAGAATGTCAATTAGATGTGGGGATAGTAGAAGAGGTGTGAGTTTAGCTATGGATAATGAAAGTTCAAGACAGCTAAGAAAAGAGTGTGCAGAAATATTAGAATCAATGAAGGTAAAACCTGTTACTATATACATTCAGTCTATAAATATTTCATATTTGTTACTATTATAGCAATTTAACGAGGCCGCATTATTATATGAAAAAGCTGAATATTTTGATAAAGCAGCTTCTGCATATATAAAATTAAAAAATTGGCAAAAAGTAGGACAACTTTTACCACAAATTTCATCTGCAAAAATTAATATACAGTATGCTAAAGCCAAAGAATTCGAAGGCAAATATGAAGAAGCAGCAAAGGCATATGAAACTGCAAAAGATTACGAAAATATAATTAGGATTAACTTAGATTACTTAAATAATCCTGGTAATGTAATTAATATTAAAACATACTATGTCTAGTATTTAGTGAATAATGAATATATACATGAATATATACTATATTATAACTTCTGAATTGTAGCTCGAAGTGTTGAAGTGGTACAACAAACCAAGAGTATAGAGGGTGCTAAGATGGTCGCGAAGTATTTTCAGAAAATGAATGACTATAATTCAGCGATCAAATTTTTAATTCTGTCAAATTGTCATGAAGAAGCTTTTCAATTAGCTAATCAACATGGAAAAATGGAATTGTATGGAGAAATCTTAATAAATACGATTGATGATAATAATGCGCGGAGAGAAGATTTCAAAAGTCTTGCTCTACATTTTGAATCTCAGAAAAATAATTTTTTGGCTGGGAAATATCACTTCTATGCTAAAGAATATCAAAAAGCATTACGACATTTATTAAAAGCTGCACAATTAGTAACAGATGAAAATGAAGTTCTTACATTCGCGATTGATACAGTTGCTTCTTCAAAAGATGATAAGTTAGCAAATCAATTAATTGATTTTTTATTAGGTGGAGATGGATTACCGAAGGTAATGATGTTTATTTTAGTAACAATGCATTCATATAATGTATTAATTCGTATCTGTTTGTTATTTATGTTTATTATAGGATCCCAAATATTTATTTCGATTGTATATGGCTAGAAAACAATACAAAGAAGCTGCAAAAACGGCAATTATTATAGCAAATGAAGAACAGATTAATGGTATCTTTTATGATACTTATCTAATATCAAATATCTTCAATAATATTATAAATAATATCTAATTAAATAATATATGACATTAAAACACTCTTTGTAATATGTAATAAACTATTTTACAGGAAATTATAGAAATGCTCATGACGTTCTATTTGGCATGTATCAAGAATTAAAAAGGAATAAAATCAATATACCTTTAGAGATGCAAAACAATTTACAACTTTTACACTCATATATTCTTGTCAGGCTTCATGTGAAAAAAAATGATCATTTACGTGGTGCTCGTATGTTAATAAGAGTAGCCAATAATATATCAAAATTTCCGTCTCGTTAGTAAAAGAAATATACAAATATATCAAATGTAAAAAGTTCTATATATAAAATTGAAAATATTTAATATACATCTTTTATTTCAGATATTGTTCCAATTTTAACTTCTACTGTAATAGAATGTCAGAGAGCAGGATTGAAGTATGCAGCATTTAATTATGCTGCAATGCTTATGCGTCCAGAATACAGAAACCAAATTGATGTTAAGTATAGTAAAAAGATTGAAGCAATTGTAAGGAAACCGCCAAAAGCAAAAGATAATGAAATTGAAGATGAACCTTTAACTCCATGTCCATATTGCAAAAATAAACTTCCAGAGACAGAAATTACTTGCGATAAATGCAAAAATACAATACCTTTTTGTATAGCAACAGTTAGTCTTGTCGAAATATTCTTACATTTATTTTAAAATTAGAAATATTATTCTTTTAAATACGTAATGATTTTTAGGGACGACATATCGTTGAAGACGATTTTACAGCATGTCCACAATGTGATTTTCCATGTATAAAAAGTGAATTCTTAAGGTATGTATAGCATTTTATTTAAAAAATAATATTTATAATTATTTTTTGATGCATTAGGATCATTGAATCTGAGAAAACATGTCCTATGTGCTCGGAAAAAATAGATGTTAACATGGTTTCGCCTATTCTTAATATTCGTCCTTATCTCGATTTTCAAGATGGAAGATCAACAGTGAAAACTTAAATACTTTTAACTATAATTCAATAGAAATTTAGAACATTGAAATGTTATTAATTTTTTATCAAATGGTGCCGTCCAATATAAGTACAACACAGTCAAGTACAAGTAGCTTATTATATAATTTTGTAGAGTATTTATAAAACTTATGCACAAATCAAATAATGATCATGCATGAAAGTATCAACGTTATATAGATATTATCTTGAATAAACTAGTCTCAAGCAATTGTAATTGATTCAATTCCCCTACTACTATTCCATCTACATTAAGCAATTTAGTACCATCAAGAATTACAGAATAATTATTTGTGTACTTCTATTCAATTCTAGGTCGCGGGAATGCATGTAATTCAATACAAATAGAACAAAATTTTTAGATATATATATAATTAGAACATAATAAATACATATACATAAATACATATATGTGTATTTACACATCGTAAACATGTAAAATAAAGTTATAATTCTATTTACATGAATTTTATAAGCATTGATAAACTCTAATGTAGAACAAGAGCGACACCTATCATGGTACATGTCAATTAAAGTCCAACTTATCAGAATTCTTTCATACATATATACCAAACATACGCAAGAAGAATGACAACATGGCATGACTATGAAAAATTAAACCCAGTAATGACGTTGAATGTTTTATAATGTCTGATTCTTAATAGACTGAAGCATATTTTTCTATCACGGTTGCGTTAATTTAATTAAATTAAAATATTTTAGAAATAAAAATCTATAATAACATGTTATATTTATTTTATTAAAAACTATCGCAATAAAATATTAGTAAAGAGGTAAAATGTTTTATATAAAAAATTGGAATTGTCAGATTAGTTTTATTAAAATAGAAATAATTTAATAATTTACATTTCTAATGAAAATATATTGATAAAAGTTTACAAAACTACAACTATGAATTCGCTAAATTTTGAAGCGTTGCATGTATACGCATGTGCCAAGTATGCAATTCAAATTTATATGTATTGTATTACAAGTTTCTTATCAATTTAGATAAAATGTATTATCAGTAATGTAATGTTAAAATACTTGTAACCCAGTTGTATATTTAAATAGCAATGATAACAAAAAGATTTTTAAAATTATGTATTTATAATTACAAATTTTCTTTTATGATTAATACAAAATATAAATTATAATTGTCAAAAATATTGTTTTTAAATTAGTAAAGTCTATTATTTTGACTAGTATCAAACAAATAAAAACGTTGTAGACGATTCTATCCATGCAGTTTAGTAGTGGGGTATTATATGTTAAAGCACATAATCACACCATATAGGTGCTAGTGTAGACAGCACCGGTATGTTAGCAGTACGTGATTGAGGTTGTACGCGAATTGTTTAAGCGGTACTTTTGACACATACTGATTCATTTTTTTTTGAAAAATCATTTTAAATTTTTTCGAAGATATTTAATATATACACAACATTAAATTAATCAATAGTAAACAAGAAATATTGTTTTATCCTTTATTACTTAAGAACTGGTGGTCAAAATGGCGGAAAAGAATGACTCGCCGGGTTCCACCTCAATTCCTACCGGACAGGAAAGTCAACAACTGCTTTCAAGTTTCATAACCGAAATCGTAAAGAGTCCAATAAATCTTGTTTTAGTAGGCGTAATTGCCATTTTGGTTTACAAAATTGTTAAAAGCAAGACGAAAATAGAAGAACCTGTAAAAGAAGAGGTAAAGAAAGTGACAAAATTGCGTGATTTTACTCTTGAAGAGTTAAATAAGTATAATGGTAAGGGACCAGATGGACGAATATTAATTGCTATAAACGGTAGTGTTTTCGACTGTACTCGTGGTGCTCACTTTTATGGTCCTGGTAAGCATTCAACCATTTCTAATAACTTATTTTATATGAGAGTTGATGTCATCAATTCGATGACTTTATATCGTGTATAAAATTGCTTTGTAATCGTCACCTTTTGCTATCTATCTCGATTTCTGAACGTTATTAATTATTTTAGAAGTAACTCTCATCGTTTGTCGATTATCACCGGCTTTGGATTGTGTAAAAATAAATTTGCAAACATCACGAGATTGTGATAATTAAGAAAGTTATGATATAACAGGCATACTGATAATTAACATTTCGTTAACTATTAAGATGTAACATTTAATCACAATATGTAAAAAATCCTAAAAAGCTATAACAATGATTAATTTATAAAAATTGGTTATGAAATTAATTATTATAATAGAAGCATAATTGTTCATGTTTTGTTCTCTTGAAGTTATATTACTTTATATGTACAATATATTTTTTATTAATTTTATTACAGGTGGTCCATATGAAGTATTTGGTGGAAAAGATATTAGTAGAGCCTTAGCAAAATTTTCATTGGAAACATCACAAGAATATGATGACCTAAGTGATTTAAACACTACAGAAATGGAATCTATAAGGGAGTGGTATGAACAATTTAAAGGTAATTACTAGCCAAAACATATTTTGTTAACAGAGATTAAAAAATTTATTTGAAATTATAAAATAAAATACAAATATGAGCTAATAAACAATGAAATTTATATATTATTATTATATATAGGTACAATGAATTTTTGTGGATTAAATTTTAGTTAATGTAATCTGAGATTAAGATTCAATATTTGATATAGGTTTGATAAAAATTAAAGAAATTAAAATACATATTACTATTAAAACATTATTGTTCATATATCCTTTCATTATTGTAGAAAGATATGATTATGTGGGAAAATTGTTGAAACCTGGTGAAGCACCTACAAATTATTCAGATGAAGAAGATGAAGGTAGTCAACTAGAAAATGAAGCAAAGTCCAAACATGATTAATTGCTTGATTGTATATTAAATGCCATTATATATCAAAGGATATTGCGCACACACCATTAAAGAAACTCTTAAAATCGTGGCTCATAAATATATTTATGGACATTTATCTGGATATTTTAGTACATCATAATGTTACTAAAATAAAGACTAAAATGGTATCTTTTGATCAAGTAAAAAGTATATAATTATTCAAAACTGGTGTTATGTGTGAAGACTTTTTTTAAGTATCCAATTTTTCAAACAATAAGGATACTTTAATAGTATAATGTTTTTATATATGTACAAAAGATTTCTTACACATCCTTAAAGCTGACACTAGATATAAGATGGTAAACTTTCGAGCTATATTTCATTATTAAATATTTTTGTTTATATTATCATTCACATTTTGCCACATAGCATTTGGTACATATAAAATATGTATTTGATACCTGTAAACTTTAATAAAATGATGTTATATTTGACATGCATTTGAAATTTAATATTAAGTTGATGCAGTACTCTGCATATTTATAATATAATAACAAAAAATATTTTTCAACATAAAAACATTATGCTTTAAAAAACAAAATGATACCATCCTGAATAAAATCAATTGTTACTTAGCTAAATCTATTTTGAAAGATATACATGAATGTTTCAATTCTGAAACATTTTTGTATACAAAACAACATTAAAATTGCATTTGAAAGTTTGTAAGAAGTAATTACACATTTACAAATCTCTTTTTTTATATGAAAAAAGTAAGATGTACGGCTTACTATAAATTTTAATGCTTATAAAATCTTGTAAAGTGTTATTATAGTTTGAATTTCCAAAGTTGTTGGTATTTGCAGCACTGTTGGTAACATAATAAATTTATTATTATATTACAATTATGAACCAACAATTTTTAAAAAGAAATGTAAATCTTATATTCGTGTGGGTACATAGGTGTATACATTTGTATAATTTTAAAATATATGCATTTTCTTAATTATTTGTGCGATTAGCTAATATCAGTTTTGTACTAATGTATCAGATATATTATAATATATACGATATATAATAATATGTCTGATATCGACTGGAGTAAGTTATAAACTTTAATTTCTAAACTGCGTTGTTAAAAGAAATAACATTTATTGATTGTATAATAAAAGCGTTGTTAATATAAACACTTACATATTTAATGGAATCTGATTTGTTTTGCTTATAAAAAAAAGAATTACACTAATGTCTTTATCGATCTACGAACTTGCGTAGAAAGAAAAACATTTTAGTGTAATTTACTTGAAAATTAATAAGTAATTTTTCTAAAATCAGCATACCGTGAATGATACTGTTATACATGCTGCATTTATACTGCAGTCTTCTCAGTTTAGATAAGACAATTCTGTATCATTCCTACGAAAACAACAATAATTGTAAACCTTCTAAAATTACATCATATTATTAATATTTCGTATTTATATGTAATAATAATTTTAATTTTAGAAAACAATATTATTAGAAAAGCAACATTTCCTATTTGTAATACGAACAGATAACATTCACTCAATCTTTGATATAAAGATTATGTAATAAGAGACTGAGTTTTCTGTGAAAATTTTTATTGTTAATTTTATTACTATTCCATTCTAAGTAATAAAATGAATGCATATTTTAGATATTTATTGTTCTAATTCATATAGAAACAGTTTGCTCAGATTAAAATTTTAATGAAATATTGAACTACATTGTATACATTTTACATTATACATATATTTTACGTTATATGTTACTGCATATGGCGTATATGTGATTTATTGCATATCTATAATGCAATATTTTGTTTCTGTTATTAGCTGAATGTGATTTATTATAATATAGCATATAAACGCGTGTTATTGCATTTGATTTTTTGTAAAATGGAACATTCAAAAATCGGAATGTTAATATGTTGATTATTCCATTAATCATTATACTGATCAGTTGAAATTTTATGTAAGATTGTTTATAGAAAATATTATCTATTAATTTTAAAATGTTCGTTTTGCTATAATCAAAAAATGAGTGGATAGTGTGTAAGGTGGAGGTTTAGTTACTCTACTATTATGTATGATACCAACATATGATATTAATTTTTGTTTATGTTTTAAAAAACATTGTTTCTTTTAAACAAGTCTTTTCTGCTATTTGCACTTAATTTATCCTATCTATTTAATTTAGTTCCCTATTATTTTACGCATTAATTGATGTTTCAAAATTATTTAATTAATCTTTTTGAATAAACCGTATAAATGAAATATTAATGCGGCAAACGTTCAATAAATAACACATCAAAATGTGAAACATGTAACGATTTTAATTTCGTATATATCATTGAAAGTTATTTTAATTATAATAATAATTTTATTTCCTTTTCTTAATTTACTATCATAAGATATCTTTGTTAAACATTCATTAAATATATATAAACTGGTAATTTGCAATAACCACATATTAAAATATCTACATGTAAATATATTTGTAAATATTTATACAAAAATGTATTTGTGGAACATTATTAAGATACATAAATAAAAATATATGATTCTGATTTTTTAATATGTGAATTTATGCATAATATACTCATGTATCATAGTGTGTAAGATTATTCCACTTGAAGGTGAAAATACAATTGAAACTAATAAATTATTTCATTTTTTTTAATTTAAACATTTTTCAGAGTTAGAAACTAAATTAGAAATTACTTTACGTTTTCTAGTCTTGCTGTTATTTATAAAATTGTAACTAAGTGACGAATTTTTCCAATTTAAGGGGTGAAAGTAAATACAAAAAAAAAAATTAATTAATCTTTTTATAGAAACTGAAAAATTCATTTGTTAATTACATTGCATTAATAAGGTAAAAATGTATGTTATTTACTGTTGTACAAGACATTCTATGGAACATAAGAAAGGATAAAGTAGTTATTCAGAGTTTATATCTTCTCACGGTCAGATCATATTGGTTCCGTTAAGCGCTATGAAATCAAAGTTTCAACAGTATGTACTTAAAACATGTTTCCTTATATCGCAAGGAAAAAAAGTACTCTCGAAATATCCTCAGGACGGATATTCAAGCAGGACTATGGTTGTCTTTGATTTACAGTCTCAAGTCGACTGAACTTGGAGGTTGATCTCAAGTTATTAGTAGTCTTTTTGGAATGAATGACGTTGAAATGATTTGAACACAATCGACCTTGCTTTTCTAATCCATTGAAATTATTGCGTTAATTTAAATCGATATGCAATTTCCATTTCTTTTCCTTGATTTCTTTTTTCCAAAAGTGTCATATCACGAAATATTCGTGAAATATACATTTTATTTATTTTATCGATTTTTGTATTATTATTGTTTGTTGTGAAAATGTCCTATGTTATTGTTAACGCTTTGCAAATTTTTAGTAGGATATAAATTACAAACTATATAACAAGTATTGAAATTTTAAAAATGAAAACCCATTCTTTAAACTCATAACAAGTTACACAAATATATAATTCACAGATTAACATTGAGTAGCTAGAATTTTTCACGTGAAACTATTTCGAAATAAAGTATACTTGTCTTTTCTTTAGCATACAATCGAAATTGCATTTTTTATAAATAATTTATTTATGTTAGATTGTAAAACAAATCAAATTCATAATTATTACAAATAATACGGGATGGAATCGTATCGTATCGACGACAAGATTACGAAAACTGCGTGCGTTATCATGGTAGACAGCGACAGTGATATCAGTGACTCAAAGCTTGTGTGAAAATAGCCCATTTGGTTTGTAATAATCAAAATGCAAACTAACGTTCGCTAATCGTTACTACTACTTTCAAGTGCATTTTTTTTACGAAATTGATGTATGGATTAATATTAGAGACTGATATATGTTCTTTCATAGATATTTTTATTCTCATTCTTTCATAGAAATATATGAACAATACGCAATTACATGGAATATCATAATCTTACAGTTACCAATTAGTTTCTTCCATTCTGAAATATAACAAAATAAATATATAATGAAAAATTAATCATCCAATGAATCAAATTAAACACTTAATTATGAAGAAATAATCTGATAAGACAGCAACATTTAACACTACAGCGTTTTGTCTTGTGAATAGTTACGTAACACTTGGATAAAGACTATCAACAGATTTTCGTGATTCCTTTCGATCTATCGTAATCTGTGTATATTTTTTCTGTGTATATTACCCTATTGATAAATGATCTGGGAATAATATTCAGTTCAAAAATAAATATAATGTTTAAAAATATCTTAACAAATAAAGCACATATTTAAAAGATTAGAACATTAAGAATACATCTGGTAAAAATAAAACGGATCTTAGTCGAAAACTAGAAATGATAATGAATATTCGATGCCGGAAAAATTCCTATAAAAAAACATTCATCGAACATGTTCGCATTACTAAGAGATTATCAAAGGAATTATGAGATCGTATAGTCGAAAGAAATAACGCGGGGTAAGCAACTAGCAACACTCCACAAAGAGCCGCTGTCACTGAGATGGGTGGCTAGGTGGCTGCTGCCACGGCGTCATCCAGTTCCCGTCCCATTTCCAATACTCCCTCTCTTCTCGCGTTCACCTCTTTCTTTACACAAGTCTCTGTATCTGACACTATCGCGTGCGCGCGCGCGAGCGTACACAAACGAGAAAGAACAGAGCAGGAAAAGGGAGATGGAAGCAAGTTCACGCACAATATATGCGTGCAGTGAGTCGCGTGCCGTTCGCACCTATCCACGAGTCAGATTCTCTTTCTCGAAGAGACGACGTTCTGCGCAACGCAATCTCCCCACCTTGTATACATTCTTCCTTTTAACCTGTCGATCGAGAAATCCCTGGCCATCTTGTAAAGATATCCCTTTGACACTCTCAACTTTATAAATGCATTAATAAACACGATTTTTTATATTTTTTAACGCTCACGAGATATAGAGTATCAATATTCTTTGGAAAACAGATATTTACGAATGCAAATTGTTCGTTATAAACATAACCATGCAAATATTTTAATCTTGTAACTACAAAAGAGAAAGTGATCATTGATGTAGATAGAGATACAGTTTGTGAATTATAGTCAACGAATCGTGTGAAAAAACATTCCAAGAATAAAATTCTTAAACATCAATATTTTCATTATTTAATAAAATGAATTGTTAAATATAATTTTACAAAACGAAATGCGCTCCGTAGTCAAAATAAAACTTACACAATGAATTCATGCATTTAATAATTTGATTATTCATATTACATAATCCTTGTACAAATCCTGGACATTGTAACAAGAAAGCATATATAATCATACCATTAAAGAGAAAATAAATTAAACAAAAATTTTATTTCAACGATGGTATTATGTATATAGAATTTACATTTACAAACGTTTTACTTACAATCCACTATAATAAATGTTAAAAGGTTTATATTTGATGTACATGAAAACAAAATAAAATAACGTTTAAACTATGCATATAGAATAATCTTAACTGGGAGAATTTTAATGGATTTATCTTTACAATAGAGAGCATCGAATCACGCGAATCACCGTCTCAATGTTTTCCGGCAACAAGAAACAATTAGGCTAGGGTTTTTTTAAGTTTGTTGAATTCTAAACACCACTAAAGCGGGCAATGGCTTAATATGTTATTAAAAGAATTCTACAATGTAACTTATGTCGTTAAACTTTGCTACAAATGTACTGTCGTACCAGTAATGAATCTAATCTAGAGAGCGTCTTACAACCACTATGCAAGACCGGCCTTTATCAAATGGCGGCAGAGGAATAAACGAAATTCTCGCGGCTGTTGGACCGGCGGCGTGAACGCAATCACGGCGTTCGTGGCCTCGCAGTCGTTCGACCAATAATAGCAAACGGTTCAGTCACATGATCATTTAGACCAATCAGATGGCTAGTCTAATGTCACGGCAGCTATACGGAACCAGTCGGACATTTTCTGACAAGCGTAGAAAAACTTCTCGTCAACAGCAGCCGCCATTTTACGTTAGCCGATACTCGTGCGGTGCGGAACTCTCGCGATCGCTTTTCCCGAGCGAATTTCTGTGGCGCGCGGTGGCCGCCCCGGAGCCGACTCATTTGATCGTCTTCGCCTCCTGGCGTCCGTGATTGCCTCGAATGTGTGGGGAAAGCGAGCCGCGTCTGCGGTGATCATTCGCGCGCCCCGTGTCGCAGTGTGCCAAGGCGAGAGAAGAGGAGAGAAAGATGGTGCCAGCGGGCCTCGAGAGCGATATCGTTGCTGCGAGCTAGCGCCGTGCGCGCAGCCAGTCCGCCACACTCGAGTGTTTGACGAGTCGTGTGCGACCGACTAAACCGAATATAACGTGAGAATTCGTTTGGTGGTGTGTGCATTTAGTCTGAGTGGTGATCCTCAGAATTGCGATACTGATAGTCTTGTTAACTTCTCGGCCTGTCCCGTCCTCACGCGAGTGGCCCGTGCGCCCATCGAAAAATTTACTGTGTGTGTGGGCTTTAGCGCGGGGTTCGACGTACCCCCGACGATGCCCAATGGTTGATCGTGTACCGAAGCGTGCTCGGGGACGCTCCACGCGCCGCGGTTTTCATTGTTATTGTCATGCCTGCGAATATGCTAAAAGCTTGGTGAATTTTCGCGGCTTCACTGAGGAGGAGGAAGCAGCAATAGCAGCAGTAACAGCATCAGCACCAGCGGTCTTCTAGTGGCGTAGTGCAGCGTTTCGTCCGTGTGTGTACCCGTGTATACGTGCCTGCGTGCGTGCCTGCCTGCGTGCGTGCGTGCGTGCGGTCGTCCCGACTTGCTGCCGCCGCCGCCGCTTACTTGCTACCGGGAGTAAACAGTCTGAAAGAAGAAATAATTAACCCTGAAAAGAAACCATGGCCGACCACCTGGTGGATGGCCCGCCGAATAAGCGGCCGAAACTTGGAGATCCTTTTCAGGGGACCTCGGATTCCGCGGGTAAGTTTTTTAATTTCATAGCAAAACTTTGCTAAATTAGTCAGGGTCGCTACGCGACTAACCTTTCGGGGATAAACGTCGCAAGTAGCACATAGGCGTTTTTCTAATTACATGATATGCACATATCTTTCTTATTATAAAGAAAAATATGCTCGCCGTTTATCAAAGGCATACTGTCAATTCGTTGATGGGTGCAACCTTTGAGCAAAATTATTACCACATGTCGATGCTTCGGTTTTTCTTAAGAAATGCACCCTCCTGTTGTTGTCTCCGTCAGTTATCTTTATCGAAAGCAATACATTCGAACGATACTTATCTCTTTTCACAACTTTTTTTATATCGTTTTTGAACTTTTAGGACAGTGCTGTGGTTGTAGCTGATTGTTTCATTTTGTGTTACAAGTGTTACCCTTTGACAGGGCCCTGTATTCAGCATATCCTAAAATCGTTTAATTTTCTTTGCTTTATTATCGTGTGTAACGATCGAAATCATATTTGACTGTTAGTTAACTGTTTATAAACTAACCTATATTATTCCAGAAATACCGTTGCGGGAATTACACTATAATGCAAATTGTCTAATGTGTTATTACTAATCTGATGAATAGTTTCAAATCATTGTATGAAATTTTAATTATTTATATGAATTTTCGCGAAAATTTATGTCAGTAAACAGTGATGTTCAGTTGTGACATAGTATTGACATTGTTGAATGTTTTGAATAGAGATTTTATCCTAGAATACTTTTATGCTAGCTTTGATATTAGAAAATTATTTATATGTAGGAGTTAGTTAATAAAATATAATTTTGTTGAATGTTTTGCAAGAATTATTCTATATTATACAACAGGCAATCTGTATATAGTGTATAAATTTTGCTCAGAGGTTATAGAAATATTTCGTGTTTAAAAAATAATTGTTTGTACTAAATAATCTATAACTTCTGTCTTGTTGCACGTTCTTTCTCTTATTTGAATTTAACCTAAACAAAATAATAGTATTTTGTAAATTTTTTAGTTACATTTAAATTTAGTTCTCATTTTACTTTTGTAGTGCATGGCAAATGCATGAAAGTTTGAATAATTATTAAAAAAAGACATTATGCTGGCATGATTGATGCGCTAACCATCTCTTGATTCTTATTTTCTTTAAGTGCTACCTGATCACCTTAACAGTTTCTGAACTCAATAATATTTCATATAATCCCATATCAAATCAGTAATGACTGTGTCACTTAAGTACTTGATGTATCAATCACAAGATTTAGTCAGGTTACACAAAGTAAGTGGCAGACATAGTCTTTGTTATTTAGGATTATTTTATTAATTCATCTATTTACTTATATTTAAAAGAGAAAAAAAGAAGAAGAAAAAATTAGACTGTTTCTGCTGCTTAAAAGCTGTGATCCAGAAAGCATAGACAGTTTTTCCACAGTCTGAAATAAAAACTGTGATATATGTAGTGGGTATGGCGCCTCTAATGATGCACCATGCTTATACAAACTACGGGGGAGGTGGCAGTGGTAACATGCAACAAATGCAGGGCCCGCCACAACAGCTACATCTGCAACAGCATCAGCTGCAGCCACATTGGAACAACCATACCATCCAGAAAAGAAGTAAATATTATTACAAAACCCAGCAAAAAGTTCAAAAATATTAAATCCAGCACTACAGAATTTGTTTGTTTGTCCATTCATCTCATTTCTTAGTATCATAAAGTTGTAAAATCATTTAATTACTTCCAATTTATGTCATAATTTACTGCTAAAATAATTCATAAATTTTTATATTCTTCAAGAAATGTAAATAGTTTTGGCATATTGTCACTATGGTTCAATAAAATTTATTTATTGTTGCTATTTGTAAAACCCAACATAAACATGAGGATTATATTGTTTACTTATAATAGAATATAAGGACAAATAAATGTAACAAATATATTACTTTATAATCGAGAGAGATTTGTTTCTTTTATAAAATACTGGAGAAAAATTGGATCACTCTAAATACTCTAGAAAACAACATATTTTCATTTAACTTACAATATGAAAATATAAAGAGATATGCTGTGAGCTTCAAATGCATTTATGAGTGATAAATGTAATATGGACATGCGACACACATGTACAGAGCTCTAAAACTTTATACTAGGATAAAACTGTATTAATTAATGTGTATAAATTTTTAAATAAAATGTGATTATATCTTTAATAAAATAAAGTTAAACTAGGTTGTTAGGTAGGTAACTATGATGTTTTATATATAATTGCTTATCTATTTTATAGGTAATTAATATCATAATTCAAATAAACTGATTTATATAATTTGTAAGAGTTTCAGAAACTTCTTTTAATGTTACAGCATTGAAAAACATTTCATTTACAAACAGTTGTAAATACTCTTTAGAGTGACTATGATTTCTTCGCATGACTGTCTACTCTAAAGTTTGCCATCAGTAGCTTTGCTGCTTTTGTAGTTTAGCACGTCTTTATTGTGAAGAAATTTTTATTCTGCTGTAGTATAAACTCCTTTAAGTTATGCTCACACAGTGTATGTCTCATGTCTTATTTATTTATGTATTTGTTTGTTTATATTTATATGTAGTTTGTGTAGAATCTTCTTATTGTTTTATTTTCTTTTTTTCTATTTTTTTAAATTTGCATTTGACCCCTTTTTTCTCCGTGTTGTATGGTCAATCATGGATAGTCAAGTAAGTTAAAGAGATATTTTTATATGACAAATGTATTTCAAACACTGTAGGTTAGTGTACTTTGAACAAGTGCAACCTCCTGCAATTTTAAATATGATATGTACATAAATGTTAAAAATTGCATGCATGTGTGCATATATGTGCATGTAAATTTACATGCAGGTATATTATACAACATGCATCTACATTATATGGTAGTATGAAAATTTTTCTATTAAATCTTTAGATAGAAGCTATGGTGACGGTGCTGAATCTTATCTTCATATTATTTACTAATGGTTTTTTGGTCTCTATGGTATATGTTACATTTAATATCATAATCTGACAATAACTTTGTAACTGGTTACCTAGAAAAGTAATTTTTCAGTCATTACATTCAACTCTCCTATAAATTATGTAGTTTAAGGAACATACTCAATTTCAAGGTATAATATGTTTAATATCATAATACAACACCTTTATGATTAGACATTTTACTTTTGTGGTAACCAGTATCTTTCACAGCAAAGTACATATTAAAATATTATTACTAATGCAAATGTTTATTCTCAGATTATATAACAAACACAGATATGTTTGATCTTGAAAATGATCTACCTGATGATCTATTATCATCGGGATCTTGGGGTTCTGCAACTGAAAGTGCTAAACCACCAGCAACAGGCCCAGGTCCAGGGCAGCAAAATGGTGCCCTTGACTCAGAACTTAGACAGCATGTACAGCAACAACAACTTTCACATCATCTCATCCAACAACAAGTTCGTATATATGAAAAATATTATACATACATATATGTATATGTGTACATATATTCATATATACAAAAAACATTACCTGTGATTTTTTTTTTTTTTAATAGGGCAACAAAAATTTGGTTGCTAATTCTTTGGTAATGGCTGCTGGAACTTTGGGTAATAAAAGTCCAAATATGCAATCTCCACCAAATGTTTCTGTCTCTAAAGTAGTTGATCCACAAATGGTCGTGAGTTTGGGAAATTTACCAAGTAGTATAGCCAGTTCCTTGGCAAATAATCAAATGTCCATTGCAAATTCAATGGGGGGCCTTCAATCGTCAATGAGCATGGCTGGAAGTAATCCTACCATGTCAATGCCAGGTGGATTGAATTCTGCTCTAGTTATGACCAGCAGTGCTAGTGGAAATAATACCATGGGTGGAATGGCAGGAGGAAGTTTAATTGTAACCAACAGTTTGAACAAACAACCTTTAAACACTGTAAGTCTCACTTGTGACCATAACATATATGAAAATATCATGTTTTGTTTAAGATATCTAAACTAAGGATCATGTGATTTAGGTAACTATGATGGGCCCTAATACTCAAGGAATTCATCATCCCAGTGGACCACATGGTGTTGCTCAAATGCAAAATGGACCTGGAATAATGAATACTAGAGCTGTAGCAATGCAACAACAACAACAGGCTCATATGGTTGGTCCAGCAAGGGGTCAAAGTCCACACCAACAAGTACATCAAGTTGGTATTGTTGGTCCTGGTCAAGGAGGTCCAAGAATTCAGCCCCCTCCAAATATGACAAATATGCCAAATATGAGCCAGATTGGTGCATCAAGTCCTTATGGTTATGGTAATTAATGATACATTAATTGTATATATAGTTTGAGTTTTAGGATATATTTAAATATACAACTTTTAAATAGGATCTCCAGCCAGTGGTCAAGGGCCTGGAGTTACCGTATGTACTAACAGTCCTGTCGGAGTTGTTGCACCACAACAGAAAGGAGTGGGAACAAATATGACTGCCATGCAAGGTGGTAGATTTGGAGGAACTCCAGGTCCCATTGGTTCCACAAATGTTGTAGGTGGTCAAGAAGGTGGTATGGCACAACAAGCTCAACCACCTGCTCCAAGCCCAGCTCAACCTCAGTCTGGTGCACCAAGTGGAGGTCAACCTGGTCCACAACAAGCTACTCAGGGTCAAATGCCCGTTACTCCCGGTGCTCCAACTGGTAAATATTTGTTTCTATTTGGAAATAAATTTACTTCATTAAACAAGTTTAGCTAAATAATGTTCACATGTTGCTAGGTGCTACAAAGTCAAATGCTGATCCAGAAAAACGAAAACTTATTCAGCAACAATTAGTTCTCCTCCTACATGCGCATAAGTGTCAAAGACGTGAAAGTCAAGCAAACGGTGATGTCTGGCAATGTTCGTTGCCAGATTGTAAAACTATGAAGAATGTGTTGACTCATATGACTGCTTGTCAAGCAGGGAAAAACTGTACGGTGCCACACTGTAGCTCTTCAAGACAAATTATTAGTCATTGGAAACATTGCAACCGTAATGATTGTCCTGTGTGTTTACCATTGAAGCAAGCAAACAAGAATAAAACAACAAATGCTGCTGCAGCATCTACAACACAGCCAAATAGTCAACCAAATCCCAGTCAAACCGAGATGAGAAGAGCGTACGATGCGTTGGGTATTCCATGTCCTACTACAACAGCAGGTTTGGTAGCCGGTCAGTGTGTTACTAGAAGAATGCCAGCGCCAGGTATGCAGGGAACACCCGGTGCGATAGGAAATGTCAGACTAGCTCAACCTCAAACTCAGACTGCACCGGGTCAATCCGGGCAGCAAGTTGTTGCCCCAAATGTGTCTCTTCCTTTAAATCCAGATCCTAACACAGTCGGAGTTGCTGGTAACCAAACGGCGTCTACTAGTGGTCCTACGCCTGCTGCTGCAGCGACTGCCGCAAACATACAACAGTCTGTTAATATGCAGCAATTATTTGGTTTAAATGATTCAGGACAACTTAGTGTTCCAAGTGAAAATAGACTAGCTAATCTTCAACTTCCAGCTGGACTTCAACCAGGTCAAGTAACAGCGGCATCGGTACAGGAATCAAAGGATTGGCATCAAACTGTAACACCAGATCTTAGAAATCATCTTGTTCATAAATTGGTACAAGCAATATTTCCAACCCCTGATCCGCAGGCAATGCTCGATAAAAGAATGCACAATCTCGTTGCTTATGCAAGAAAAGTTGAAGGTGACATGTATGAAATGGCCAATTCCAGATCAGAATATTATCATTTGCTGGCCGAAAAAATATATAAAATCCAAAAAGAATTGGAGGAAAAACGACAAAGGCGGAAAGAACAACAACAGCAACAATTACAAGCCCAACAACAACAACAACAACAACCTCAACCTTCAGGAACAGCAGGACCGAGTTTAAGGCCATGTGCGCCACCAGGTGTCGGTGCAGTTCAATCATCACGACCAGTTGGAACAGTTGCGCCTAGTTTACGTAGTCATTCTCCGATGGGACAACTTGGAACTTTACCTGCAATGGGTATTCCGCACAATAGAATGCAGTTTCCTCAACAACAACAAACGCAACAACAACAACAAGTACAGGTTCAGGCCCAGACTAATGTCCAGGCTCAGGCCCAAGCCCAAGCTCAGGCTCAAGTTCAAGTTCAACAACAAATGCAGCAGCAACAACAACAGCAACAACAGCAAGGAATTTTAGTTGGTCCACCTGGTCCTAGTCCAAATGGACAGTCAACATCTAATCCCAATGTCGTTCCAAATCCTGGTCTCAGTCCTTTTGGACAACCACAAATGTCACAAGCAAGTTTAACGACTACTACGTCTGCCACAACTAGTCAATTCCCAACCTCAAATGGTACTACCGGCTTACCTAACAGTTCTCCTGTACAAAATCAACCTCAGTTTCCCGATCTTATGAAAGTTAGATTGGCTCAAGCACAAGCAGCAATTGCACATCAACATCAGCAGCAACAACAGCAGCAGCAGCCATCACAACCTCAACCTCAACAACAACCGAGTCAATCGCAACCACAACAACCAACAAGTACTTCGAATCAAAGTGCTACAACGACCTCAATGCCGCAAGCGCCCTCACCATTTAGCGGTATGCAACAACAAAGCAATCAGCAACAAAATCAATTTAATAATAGTCGGCCTCTATCGGTTTCAACACCTAACGATAATGGCATCAGTACATCAACCCCGCAAACGATACCACCTCCTGCTTCTAGCGGGCCTAGTCCTGGCTCGGCAACAACGACGAATGGACCTCAGTCTACAACTTCCACACCTAATACACCATTAGTTCCTTCATTAATGACTCCAAATCAGACAGTTTCTTCCGCTAATCAAACACCGCCTCATCCTGCTACTACACCATCTCCTGCCGGGCTAGCTAGTCTTGGAAAGGGCATGACATCTCAGGAAAGGGCTGCATTAAACGCACCGAGAACTTCTTCGATGTCTTCGCAAATGGCTGCTATTACAGCTGCTTTAGATCGTGATAATTCTCCTAGTCCACCGATGAATAACAATAAGGGAAAACTGGATTCCATTAAAGAAGAGAGTATGAAAATGGAAATCAGAACAGAAGATGGTTCTGATAATCATAGAATGGACGGGGGTAAGAGTGTCAACAACGACGTGTCTATTAAAACTGAAATCAAAACAGCACCGATGGAAGAAGGATCCAGTGAAAGTATTGTAAGAGAAGAACCTACCATCAAAGAAGAACCTGTGACGCCGATATCCAGCCAAGATACACCAACGCCGGACATTAAACCATTAGTTCCTGAACCAATACAACCAAGCGGAACATCAACGGATAAGAAACGGTTGTGTTTATTTAAACCAGATGAATTGCGTCAAGCGTTAATGCCGACATTAGAAAAACTTTATCGTCAAGATCCAGAATCTATTCCATTTAGACAACCTGTCGATCCACAAGCATTGGGAATTCCAGATTACTTCGATATCGTTAAGAAACCGATGGATCTTTCAACAATCAAAAGAAAATTAGACACAGGGCAGTACAGTGATCCTTGGGAATATGTGGATGATGTATGGATGATGTTTGACAACGCGTGGCTTTATAATCGTAAAACTTCACGTGTTTACAGATATTGTACAAAGGTATATTTACTTCAAAATTATCCGATTATCGAATGCTGATATCACGCGAATAATGATATTCAAATTACAAATTTTTTCTATTAATTTTAGCTTTCTGAAGTCTTCGAGCAAGAAATAGATCCTGTAATGCAAGCCTTAGGATATTGTTGTGGAAGAAAATATACATTCAATCCACAAGTACTGTGTTGTTATGGAAAGCAACTTTGTACGATACCAAGAGATGCAAAGTACTACTCCTACCAAAATAGGTCAGTACTTAAAAGAGTTTTAGTTAAATAACTATGTACAACAGGAAAATTTATTTAATAATTGAAAAAATAGTCTGCATGAAGGGAATATGTTAGTAGGTTTTATCTCCATCTTGCCCTTTAGTAATTTCTTTTACTTAGATAATTAGATATCTTGTTAATGACTTCTGTTGCTCCCAGCTGTCTTTAAAGATTACTGACATTAGTTGTACCTGTTAAGTTTTAGAAGTTCAAATTGTCTAGGCGCATTCGACTTCCATGGTACATTTTTACTTAAAAAAAATGTTCTATAATCGAATACGCCAAATTACATTGGCAGGCTAATTAACCTGTTTCGGTCATACCAGTCGACACAGGCCAGTCTCCTGACCTACACGTTTTCTTTTTTACGTTTTTTTTTCTTTTTTTTTTCTTTTTTTCCTTTTTTATTAGAATTACGAAACATTTGTTAATGAATGTATTTTTTCGTAACGTTCGCACAATAAAGTTGAAATTTTATTACGCATATACTTAAGGGATATTGCTTTCTATGGTAATCCTTAAAAATTAGATGCTTTTTAAATATATTTTGCTTTATAAGTAATTTAGAATACGCAAAATAATTTGTAACAAAAAATTCGTTTGTTACTCTTGAGTATATGCAATTAAGTAATTTATGTATATATTATATGGTGTCTAACTATGGCACTCTTCTCTTCTTTGTATGTTACCTTCGCTCTACCCATGGGTTGCGCACGCACACACAAATCCTTGTTTGCTGCTTGCTTCTTGTGTTGCCCGCGCCCCTTGCTTCTTTCTGACTCTACTACTTCATGCCACGAAAATTGATACTTGGAAATTGGACGATTGAAATTGGATACCTGACACTTAAAATGAAAACAAATAAATGTAAAACAAATTGTATCTGTGATAAATGAAAAATAATGAAAAAATATGTTACTTACACGAAATGATGACTCTCTACAATTTTTGGAATAAAAAAAAAAAATAATAAAAAAAAAAAAATATATAAAAAAATGAAACGAATCCAAACATATAATTGGCAAAACACTACTTGCATGTGTATAATTGCAAATACAAACAAATATTTATCAAAATTGGATACTCGACATTTGGATACATCGATTGGGGCGTGAAAAAAATTGATCTTCGTATGATGCACGCATGATATTGACGAATTGAAATTTGGATCTAAACACTATTGGTTGGAACAGTAGTCTAAAGGCATATGGTCTTGTTTCCGACAGATACACCTTCTGTCAGAAATGTTTCAACGACATTCCTGGTGACACTGTGACGTTGGGAGACGATCCAACGCAACCACAAACGTAAGTTTTCGAAGTAAATATATTATTGATGTTCATGGTATACATTATACGTAAAATAAAATTATTATATTCTATTACAGTGCCATTAAAAAGGAACAGTTCCAGGAAATGAAGAACGATCATTTGGAATTGGAGCCTTTTGTTGTATGTACAGATTGCGGTAGAAAGGTACATCAAATTTGTGTGCTTCACATGGAATCAATTTGGCCATTGGGGTAAGTAGAATTTCTTATAAAATAACCATGATAAATTTTGTATAATAATTGTTTTTTTTTTTTGTTGTTTTTTTTACAGATTTACTTGTGATAATTGCTTGAAAAAGAAAGGTCAGAAACGTAAAGAGAACAAATTTAATGCTAAACGTTTACCAGTTACTAAATTAGGTACCTATATCGAAACGCGTGTAAACAATTTCTTAAAGAAGAAAGAAGCTGGTGCCGGGGAAGTTGCGATTAGAGTTGTAGCATCCAGCGATAAAGTTGTCGAAGTGAAACCAGGAATGAGAAGCAGATTTGTGGAAAATGGTGACATGCCCGGTGAATTTCCATACAGAGCGAAAGCATTGTTTGCATTTGAAGAAGTCGATGGCACTGATGTATGTTTTTTCGGCATGCATGTGCAAGAATATGGCAGTGAATGTACACCACCTAATACTCGAAGAGTCTATATTGCATATTTGGACTCTGTACACTTTTTCCGGCCTAGGCAGTTCCGAACAGCAGTATATCACGAAATTCTTCTTGGATATTTGGATTACGCAAAACAATTAGGGTAAGTTCAGTCTGGTTTGTGAAATTTACATAATTTTGTCTGTTAATACTCATTACAATCTTTATATTTATGTGTAGGTATACAATGGCTCATATATGGGCCTGTCCTCCGTCTGAAGGTGATGATTACATCTTTCACTGCCATCCCCAAGAACAAAAGATTCCAAAACCCAAAAGGTTGCAAGAGTGGTATAAGAAAATGTTGGACAAAGGCATGGTTGAAAGAATCGTACTCGATTATAAAGTTAGTACGATCACATAACATATTTAAACACATAACAATACAGTCTCAAGTGTTACCTGAGAATGAATTATTATTCTTGGGTGTCAGAGAAGACTAAAATTAATGCCTGTAAAAGCTAATGTTTTTAGTGAATTTGTAAATTTAAACATAGGATTAACAGGCTACAATTAAAATTCAATATTTCTATTTGCAATTTAAGAACCATATAAATCAAAAGTTAATGATTTTTATTTAATAATTTCAGGATATTTTAAAACAAGCGATGGAAGATAAACTTTCATCAGCAGCTGATTTGCCATATTTCGAAGGTGATTTTTGGCCCAATGTTTTAGAAGAAAGTATTAAAGAGTTAGATCAAGAAGAAGAAGAAAAACGTAAGCAAGCTGAAGCTGCAGAGGCTGCTGCGGCTAATGCGGTATGTACAGATTAGTGGTTATTTTATTAGATATAGTATGTAAATGGAAAAATAATTGTGGTGTGCACAATTTTGTTGTAGATTTTCTCTCTGTCCGAAGATTCTGAAACAGGTCCAGACGGCAAAAAGAAAGGACAAAAGAAAGCTAAAAAGTCGAATAAATCTAAAGCAAATCAAAGGAAGAATAGTAAAAAATCCAATACTCCTCAAACAGGAAATGATCTCTCTGCTAAAATTTTTGCAACTATGGAAAAACATAAAGAAGTATTCTTTGTTATTAGGTTGCATAGCGCTCAAAGTGCAGCCAGTTTAGCAGTGAGTATTTGAGATTATTTTATATTTACTACATTGTTGATAATAAGGCTATGTTCTTATGTTTAATGATGATATATATTTTAGCCTATTCAAGATCCCGACCCAGTTATTAATTGTGATCTTATGGATGGTCGCGACGCTTTCCTTACTATGGCTAGAGAAAAACATTACGAATTCTCTTCTTTAAGGCGCGCGAAATTTAGTTCAATGTCTATGCTATATGAATTGCACAACCAAGGTCAAGACAAGTTTGTTTATACTTGTAATAACTGTAAGAGTCATGTAGAAACAAGATATCATTGCACGGTTTGTGATGTAAGTACTAAAATAATAACTTTTGTATGTGCTTTGCTGTCAATTTTTCTGTACATTAATCTAATATTAATTATTGCAACAGGACTTTGATCTGTGTATAAGCTGTAAAGAAAAAGATGGTCATCCTCATCATATGGAGAAACTTGGTTTAGATTTGGATGACGGTTCATCGCCGGCCGATGCCAAACAAGCTAATCCACAGGTAAAAATATTATTTTGCATATTGAATGTAATAATGATCCTATTATGAACGTTTGTAATAATTATTTTTGTTTAATAACAGGAGGCGCGTAAACTTTCAATACAAAGATGTATTCAATCGTTGGTGCACGCGTGTCAGTGCAGAGATGCTAACTGTCGTCTAACAAGTTGTCAGAAGATGAAGAGAGTAGTAACACATACTAAAGTTTGTAAACGAAAAACAAATGGTGGTTGTCCAATATGTAAACAATTGATAGCGCTGTGTTGTTACCATGCTAAACACTGCCAAGAGACTAAATGTCTTGTTCCATTCTGTTCGAACATCAAGCATAAGCTGAAGCAACAACAGCTTCAACAACGGTTACAACAAGCGCAGTTGTTAAGGTAAATGCACCAAAGCAATAATAAGGGAAATTCTCAAAGTTATTTAATAATATGTTTGTGTGTATGCATATGCATATATATTTATTTATTTATTTTGCATTTATTTTTTTTAGGAGACGAATGGCTGTGATGAATACCAGACCCACAGGTCCAGTGGGAGCTATGCAATCTGGGCAACAGAGTTCGAATGTTACTATGACCACTGGAGTTGCTATGAAACCAGGAGTTAGTCCTACCAATTTACCTTCACCGCATCAACCTGGAATTGGATTGAAACCTGGTACTCAAACACCACCTGCTCACGTTCTGCAAGTTGTGAAACAAGTACAAGAAGAAGCTGCAAGACAACAAGTGCCACACGGTTACGGAAAGGTAACGCCAGGTGGTGGAGTCGGTGTTGGAGTTGGCGTAGGAGGTCAAACAGGTGGTGTAATGCCACCACCTCAAATGCAGCGGCCAATGCCCGTTCAAATGCCAAATCCCGGTGGTACCCATCTTATTCCAATGGATCAATGGACAGCAAGGTAAGCAGTTAAAAAAATGTTACAAAACGTATCGGTATGTATCGTACAAAGAGATTTAAGCTGTATTTTTAAATACAGTAGGTATCAGCCGAATGCTGTGATGCAACAGAATCCTGGTTTGAGACAACAAACGCCGCAGCAGTTAATGCAACAGCAACAACAACACCAGGGACAACCAGGAATAGCAATGGCAGGACAGATACCCAGACAAGCAGTTCTCGGTGGTCCAGTTAGTCAAGTTGGACCACAAACTCAAAGCAACATGCACAAGCACATATTGCAGCAACTTATGCAAACTCTTAAGAATCCCCATACCCCTGAACAACAAAGCCAAATACTTCAAATACTCAAAAGCAATCCACCGATTATGGCTGCCTTTATTAAACAACGGGTATGACAATTAACTTTTATCATATTATTTGCCATATTTTATTTCACTATATCATTTACTGTTGTCACGGTCGGTTTCGATGATTTCTATTACCACATGATGTTTTTAATAAAAAGGCGCTTGCTCTTCAGCAACAAAGTGGTCAATACGGCGGAGGAGTCGGCGGTCCTTTGGGCCCTAATCAGCCGCAGCAACAACCTGGTTTGCAGCATATGATGTCTCAGCAGCAGCAGCAGCAGCAGCAACAGCACCAACAGCAGCAGCAGCAACAGCATCAACAACAGCAACAACAACAAGGCAGAATGCAAATACAGGCAATGCTGAACCAGCAGCAGCAGCAGCAGCAGCAACAGCAGCAGCAGCAGCAGCAGCAGCAGCAGCAACCTGTTCAGCAGCAATCACAATGGTATAAACAGCAAATGCTGGTAATGCAGAGGCAGCAGGCTCAACAGCAGCAGCAGCAACAACAACAGCAGCAGCAGCAACAGCAACAGCAGCAACAGTTTACACAACCTCCAGCTCCGCCTTATGGTCAACAGCGACCCATAAGGCCAGCGGCCCTTCTCGGTAAGAATTACTTAATTCTGGAGAAAACGAGATTCGTCGAGCCGATTGGTTCGTGGTCTAACGCTTGCCACGATTCCGCGTATTCTTCCCCAGGTTATAGTGGCTTTAGCGAACAAGGATACGGTCAACCCGGCTTAAAACCAACACCACCCCCGGTACCTTCTCCGCAAGGTGTAATGGGACCTCCAGGGATCTCTGTACAGCAACAGTTAATGCAGTCCGTTCGATCTCCACCGCCAATTCGTTCTCCTCAACCAAACCCTTCTCCACGACCGGTTCCATCTCCGCGTAATCAGCCAGTTCCTTCTCCTCGATCAGGGCCGGTGCCATCACCTCATCATCATCCACCTCATGGTACACCAACGCATTCACCGGCTCATGAACTCGGCGGTTCAAGCGAAATGATGCTTTCGCAGCTGAGTGGTGGAACAGGTGCACCGACCGGTCACCCGGGTACCATGCCTCATCACCCATCTCCAGCGCCACCGCCCACTAGTGGCACAGACTCGAGTGAAGTGACGCCTATGACGCCACAAGACCAACTTTCGAAATTTGTCGAAGGATTGTAGTGACTGTTAGTGAAGTTGGTCAATACGAGTGACTACGTTAGTGGGCGAACGATGATCTCGCATCGTATGTCAACCGTTTAGAAGAACGGTCGCTGTTCCATCTCTCTATCATGAGAACAGAGAGAGCGCGAGAGAGAGAGAGAGAGAGAGAGAAAGAAAGAGAGAGAGAGCGGGAGAGAGAGTAACTTCCATCCGTTCTGCGTTCCTAGCTTCGTGGAGATCAGGTACAACTACTTACGTCCGGTACGCTGACCAAGTGCTGATGTTCAGAGACGAGTCAGAGTACCACTGGTGCGACCAAATTAATCCGGATGACGCGTGTTTCCTCTTTCTATCTCCGAGTTAAGGTGCAGGAGCGATATAGCGTGATGTGGTGCTGCTTAGATGCTCCGCGAAGATACTACAGCTGGCTCAATGAACACTTGAACTTACGTTATTGTATTCTCGTACCTCAACCTCGGCTCCACAATTGAGAACCGGTGGAACGACGAGAAACAATTATTTGAAACTATACACACAGGAAATCAAGAGAGACTATTAATACGTTCTCCCCGTAAACACACATACATATACAAAAGAAACACACACACTATGTCCCTGCCCTATCTTTTACTCCCCTTACACACGACCTTTTCATCTATACCACCTTCCCTCGCTGCTGCTCGTGCAGGCTGAGTGAAATCGTACAAATGTGTTGTGTATACTTAACGTTAATTAATAATTAATAGTTCAAATATTATTAGCGTAGCGATTATATGCAGTTATTATATACCACTATTATTATTATCGTGACGAGATGCAAAGTATATAACAAGAAAAAATGGACTGTATGAAACGGAAAGATATTGAAAAAGAAACCAACAACATTGTATGTAAGGAAGGGAGAACAGAATTTAGTGGAAAGTTAAGTAATGTTAACTTAGGCTAATTTGTTATTAAGAGATCGCTACGGTTGCCGAAGGTTGTACCTTAGCGCCATTAAATTTTATGGATCATTCTGAAATTAATCCTCAAATAATCTGCTGAATCGTTCAATGGGAAAGACGATTCTTTAATGACAGGACAGGTGAGACAACGCGGATTAACGGTGTCGCAACCAAAAAAGTAGAAATTCACGACAAGCTGCTATTTGCTAGTAAGGGAGGATTTATAAATCGTGTTAATTTTGAGAAAAAAAAAAAAGTTTTTCAAACCGAGGGTCCAACATGTACAGTTCAATCAAAATATGTAGCTACGAAGCGTAACCGAAACGGACCCTCGCGTGAAAAGCGTTCTGTACATACTATACTATTATTACGATAATAATAACGATTATTATTAATTTCCCTGTCTATTATGAATTTATTATTATTAATATTATTGCTATTATTATAATTATTATTGATTATTAATAATTATTATCATTACTACTACTACTACTACTACTACTACTACTACTACTATTATTATTATTATTATTATTATTATTATTATTAATTTTATTATTTTTATTATTTTTATTATTATTATTATTATTACCATTATTACTATTAACATTATCATGAAAAGATTCAAAACATGTAGGTATAGCGTAATATACGGGAAAAAAGCGAGAAAGGGATCCACACACGCGTTATAATTACATGGGCTATACCCGTGCACGAAAAAACCCGAGAAAAGAAAGAAATACAACAGATACACGTACTCGTACACGTACATACCGAAACTACGTGACTATGCCAGTGCTGTATCATAGTAAACTGTAAGTGTAACTTTTCCTCCCTCTTTTTTCTTCGATACCTATTTAAATGACTAGTTGATAACGAATGATACGTGAAGGTGTACTTCGAAAGTCCGTATCGTCGGATATTTTTTAAATACACGGTGTACAATGTAGCCACCATGTAATCAAGCTATAACCGATTTAGTCGTAATCAGAATTACTAATGACATATGCAACCGGTGTAAGGTTCACACGCAAACGTGGCGTTTCCGTCGACAAAAGCGCGGTCCGATTCGAACGAAAACCTGAGAAATTATGACCCGTTTGAGAAAACACGTTACCCCCAGAAATGTATTTGACACGTTCGGATATATACATAGAACCAGATATGTTCGTATGCATATATAACATTAACATACGTCGGTACGTCGATTTATCGATTAATTTAAATTCGTTAAAGAGAAAGGAAACATATTTTTATGAAAACAAACAAAGAAAAAAAAAAAAAGATATTATCGAACGATTGGCGAATGTGCTTTGCCTTGAAAATTTTAATCGCGGGGTTGGATGGTGGGGGTAAGTTGAACGCGAAGGATTTATCTTAACCAATCAAGCTTGTTTCATTTAATCGAAGCGCAAATTTCAAGATATTTTTGTTATTTTTAAACTTTTTATAAATTTATTTACGAATCTGTCTATGAAAATCGTCAACATAACCGAAACATTCCTTTTGTTATGCATTCTCCCTCTCTCGTCCTTCCTTCTCTTCATCTTCTTATTTTTTTTCTTTTTTGTTCTTTTCCTTTTTTTTTTTTTTTTTTTTTTTTTTTTTTTTTTTTCTTTTTTTTTTTTTTTTTTTTCTTTATGTTTTCTGTTCCTTGGATGAGTTTTATAAAAGAAACGCCTTAGATTGATATTTCCAAGATTGTACATAAGAGGACAGAAAGGAAGAAAAAAGGACGATTACGAATGATAATATAATTGACGGCTGAATCGAGCGGGTCGACTATAATAGATCGGTTGAGAAGCGAATCGAATCGTGGGCGCATCTGATGTATTTACACAATTTCTAAAAGTGAGTTAAATCGAGAAACAAAAGATTAAGCGGAATAAAACGAAAGGAAAAAGTAAAGAAACCACGAGATACAAATGGTAATCGATTCTAGATTTAAATAAACAATTTTACTAGTGAAAGGAGAGTAATCGTAACGACGAAAACCCAAAAGTATTTGGCTTAGTATGGCTGTGTTTAGGGCAGTGTTGTAAATCTGAAAGTGGTATACCTTTTTTGGTAGTAAACTCTTTAAGTGCGGACGTTCGAACGCTGTGGTGTGCCAACCCGACGATCGCGATCTACGTAATCCATTTTATCGATTGATTTTATTAATGAATTAATTAATAACAAAACGACGCAATTTGCTAAGAATCGGGTTCGTTTGCGAACGAATTGTGAAAACGTTTATATATATATATATATATGTGTGTGTGTATGTGTGCAACAGATGAAAAAGTAAGAAAAATGTGTGCTCTCTTTCGGAATTTAGTTCGAGGACAATTGCGAGTGTAAAAATGGGTCTTAAATGTGCTCGAACGAGAGGAGAAAGAGACAGTTCGTAGATTCGCGAAAAAATTACTTCCGTCGGTGACAAAGAAAGAAAGAAAGAAAGAAAGAAAGGAAGGAACGAAACGGAAGTGGTTTGCACGTCGGACCTGTTGGTACGTCGGCGTTCGTGGCAATTTATTATTGTAACGAAAAGCGAATGATACAACGCTATATATAAATATATATTACACGATTTGTTTTCTTTTTTATATTATCAAACACAATATAGGCCGCGGTTATATCATGATGGAGTAAACATTATTAATTATTAATTATTCGATAGACGATAACTGCAAACAAAACTATGGAACATAATTATTATTATTACGCTATTATTATTGAAATACCGACTATAGAGTACTACTTTTTATTATGACATTTCGTAACTAGTGAATTGATTATCTAATTAAAGATTAATGAGACGCAAGTGTAACATTTATCCCCTCCAGGTGAAAAAAAAAGAAAAAAAAAAAGATTGCAAAGAAAAAGAAAAATGAACGAACACGCCATTCTTCAATCCCAGCCTCTTGTTCTTTTCCCGGGAAAAGTCTCGCGTGGGACAGAGAATTTTCTCCCGATCCAGCCCGAAATCCTGATCCAACACTGCATCGGTCACGATAAATGTACAATATTTAACGATGCGCTTTCCTTTATTTATTTCTTGTCGGTGGGATTCTCGTCGTTCTCGCTGAACGAGACAAATGGAAATGGAAAGAAAAGACACTGTCATCGTCGCCATTCAGATACCTTTTTGTATCTCCCGTTGTAAAGACCGTTCGCAGAGTGACTTAGGAAAAACTTTAGTTAACGTCTTGTTTGCCCCCGTGTTCGCTATTCCTTTTGTAAACGCGTTTTGTAAAATATATAAGTTCGGTTTAGATGTGTGAAAGTTAGCCTCACGATCCACTCGGAGAGGGAAAAGTGAATTTAGGTTTTTGCTACAGTTTTATACTCTTGGACGTAAAAAAGACTTCGTTTTTCTCTTAACGATTTGTAACGTAGATAAGGACACTGTATGTTGATGTTCATGAATATTTAACCGAATATTGTTATATTATTATTAAAAAAGAAGTTTTAAAAATACATTCCATTTTTATTTTTCTCTCAGCTCAGGTTATATATGTACATACGTGTATCGAAAGACCAAGATCCTTCATAAGAAGTATTTCTTATCGATAGTATTTATATAATCGCGAAGAGTTACTATGAAAAAGAAACGAATTATTTTTATCTTATCTTCCGGACAGAGCAGATCTTCTTATCCGTATACATCGAAGCACTTTGATTCTTTATCATCGAGCGTGTATCCCTTAATAAAATATTTAAATATTCACAGTGCGAAGAACTAAAGTTTTTCTGTTGACTCTGTTACATTGGCGCCATACCCGCTATCACTTGCTACTATACATATATACATATACTTCACCGCTCGACAACTTCGCTTCGAATAATCGTTTCTACTATTTGTATATTTATTTAAATTTATTCCCTTCTCGCCACGCGCACGATGGTCTCTTTCTAACTTTTTTCGAAATCTAGTTTCCTCTTACGTATCGCTCGTATATATATTTTATACGATATTTGTACATGAAATCCCATCTAACGCGATCCAGCGTTCAAACGCATGTGTACCCTTGTCTCGACCTGTCTCGACAAGTTGTACGGATTCTCAATTAAACGAGCACTCTACGTATATATTTTAGTTCCATCGACGGCTGAAAAAGAGAAAGATAGAGAGAAAGAAAGAATCAAAGTACAGAACGATCCACTGGCTTCCGAGGGGAGAAGTCTTGCCTTCGAGGACTACTCTAGGTTCTCGCTATTTCGACTAAAATGGAACTAAAATATCCAACGAACGCAGCGCGTTTTTCTTTCCTTCTCTTTTCATCCTATTTATTCTCGTTGCGTTCGCCGAGTCTCCTTTCCTTAGGTCTAAGGACTAATCTCTTATCCGATTACAGCGCATAATGTAACAACGCAAACGAAACTGGCACGTAAGAGTTATACATATATGTGTATATATTTATACATACTTACCATTAACACAATATGAGAAATCTGAACGAAATAAAGTTTACGTATGATTATTTGAATACTGGACAATTGTACCTGTATGCTCTCAGACACCTCTTTCGCTATCATTTCGCACGCTCGCGTTTCAAGTTCCGAATCCTGCCGCGATCTCTGTGGATTCCCGTTCGAGCGCAGTCTTATTTCTACGTGATATGTCGTCCGTTTCGTTGTCCTTCGTCTACACGAATCTATCAATGTACATTTCTTGCAAATATACCCCGTTCGCGAGGATTCGTCGGTACACGAAAAAAAAATGCCCGGGACAATGAGACGGTAGCCGAGATTAATCGGAACGAAGAAGCATTCGCGTAACATGGCGAGGATTTCCGTTCCCTTCGCTCTCTGACCAAAGTCCGAAGCGATTGCTGCCCGTCGGTTCTTCCGCCTTATCTGTCGTTTTCACAGCGACGAATCCTTGTTGAACGATATCGTTGGACGGATAACAAAAGGAGGAAGTTCAGAGTCCCCATTCAGATCTATACGTACTACGTTTATACGATATATTTATATTATTGCATACATATATTCTATATACATATTGTACACATATATACAGACTCACGGTACGCGTGTAACGATATTATTATAGCGGTTGCGGAGGAATCGCGTCTCCGTCGACGAAGAAAGCTCAATGTATAGAGGTATATAGATTATCATAGCGAATAGCGAGCTGTGACGAGTTTTCTAAGTGTTAAGAAAGAAAGAGAGAACGAGAGAGAGAGAGAGAGAGAGAGAGAGAAAGACGTGTGCTTCTGAAAAACTTGGAAACGCTGCGTCTGTAGCGATCGAGTGCGGTGTGGAACATTTTCGAGTACGTTAATCGGAGCAATATTCGTCCAGTGGAATAGATTTAAAGGAAACGAAACTCTAACAAGATCCACCTGTACACGAGTCTCCGTTTTATACCGTACTTACGTGTCAAATAAATGTACTTGTCTGTGAAGTGTATCGCGACTCCTTTTGTACTGTATCGACGCGACTTTGATAGTGAAGCATTCCATGTAAACGTGTTTGTTATATTTATGTAGGACGGACCCTGATTTATGCTATTCGTTTTCAACTTTATACGACCCCTTGTACATGTTTCGTTTCGACAGCTGGTTTGCGACACCGGTATTACCATCGCGACGGAATTGTATAGAAAAAACAAAATATTTAATAAACGATTTATGGATTATTTGATTTCGGATTGTCTTTGTAGAATTGTGAAGCGACCCCTCCTGAAGAATATCGCTAATCAGAAACGAAGGCTAGGTTTAAATATCGATCGGCGTCTACCGCGTTAAGCATTGAATTGCAAATTAGCTGAACGATATACATCTCTTCGCCTGTTCTTCATTTGTCTACATATATATATATATATATATATATATGTATCAAACTACTGTTCGTGGTTATAGAGTTATCGAGTTTTGAGTCGCTTGATTTACAATTAAACGTGATAAAACGAGAACTCATTGTACCATCCGTTGTAATGTCGTGCTTGTTATCGTTTACGCAAATAAGCCTCGTTAATATGAAAATATTCCCTTTGTCTCTACAGACGTCAGTATTTCTCGTGCGCGAAAGTTGGCGCGATTCGTAGACGCGAATCGATCGAAATTTCTGGAATGCAGAACGGTTCCGCCGTAACCTGGATATCGCAAATGGCACTTTACGAGAAAGTAAAAGCTTGCAATATGCTTCGAAACGAGATCGTACGAGACGATCTTGATTATTGCTTAAATTTAGTCGATTATTCGTATACAGGATGGTATTTTGACGTTAATTTAGGTACAAGAATGCACGTGTAAAGGCGAGATCGCGTTGAACGTCGATCTTGGAACTTTGGTGATTATTTCTTTGTTCGCTTTGTTGAATTAGAGTCAGTACTTTCAACTCGAACACACCGCTGCGCCATTCATTCAGGTCACGAGACGATGATGCGTCATGTAGCTCTGTTAATCAAATGAATCCAAACAAATTTTTATAACACGAACAACAACTTGATTCCCAGAGTGATTCAGGATTCGATATAGCATGAAGCGTCAGATTTGGCTGTCGTCAGATATATAGGCCGAGAAAAGCGTGTGTCATCTATGATGCTTGACATGGCTTGGCATGCGTGGCCAAGATGGTGGTGGTAATGGAGGCACGATGACGATAGTCGGACTTCTCTGCGTATCATAGTCTCGCTTCGGTGTTCCTCTTTAATTCTTCTGTAGCTCCTCAGAGGGTGTTTGTCGTTGATGATGCGCATTAGTGGTGGAATGTTGTTGATGTGTTAGTTGTGCATCATTGAGGAGAGATCGCTAGATGGTCGGCATATCTGTGAGATCGCTGCTGCGCCGTCCAAAAATAGATAAATGAACGACGAGCGTGCCATCCTTGTTGTCGGTGGTTCCACGCACTCCGTAACAATGTACGATTATTAAAAGGTTTGTGGCCAACGCCGGATAGGAATGGAAGTGCTCAAAACCAGCCAAGAGATTGTGCATGAAGGGTGGCTTATTAAATCACCACCTACCAAACTTTGGCGAGCGGTTAGTATTTCACGGAAGGATGGCAATTTCGAAATTCTACTTATTCAGTCAATTTTTTATTGTTTACGTTTTTAAATACTTGTCAAATCACTGCGTTTGTATTCGTTCATCAGACTCTTATGAATTCTAACCTCGTACGCTGAAAACTGTTTCATAAATGTGAAATGTTGTGATATTTTTACCTAAGAATGCTAATGTTGTAATTAGTTTTTAATTATATTTTAATGCGAACGATGTTATAGATTAAACATAGTAGACAAATTTAAGTGATAATGTAAATATATGAAATATATAAGTTTTTTTAAAATAAAACGAGTAATTTCTATGATACATTTGTTCATTTTCAGCGTTGGAGGAAAAGGTGGTTTGCTCTTCGACATAGTGGGGAATTGCCTGGACAATATTTTTTGGAGTATTATACGGATAGACGTTGTAGAAAATTAAAGGGTCGCATTGATCTTGATCAATGTGAGCAGGTAGTTATTTAGTTTATGATATCTGATTGAGTTTACGATAAAACTGGTTTATGTCTTAGAATTTACTTATGTCTTTTAACAGGTAGATGCAGGTTTAAGGTTTGAAAATCGTAAGCAAAAGTATCAATATATGTTTAATGTTAAAACACCGAAAAGAACATATTATTTAGTGGCAGAAAGTGAAGCTGATATGAATAAGTGGGTAGATGCTGTATGTCAAGTTTGTGGCTTAAAGGCATACACTCAAGATGAGGAACAGCAATGTCAAAGTATATATTGCTGTTATTTAAGAGATTTGGACTTAACAAGTAAGATTTTATCGAATACTATAAATTTTTTTTGCAGTGTTCCAGTTTGAAACGCAAGAATCCCCACCAATTTCACCTACCAGTACTATCTCTGGTCCTTACATTCCTATTAGCGAATGTATTTCTGGTCGACGGTTAAACGATACTAGTTCCCTCAGTTCGGCTTTGGGACAAGGACCTGAACACTATGATGCCCCAAGAAGATTGGCCCCTTCTCCTCCTAGATCTCCTACAACAACTGATGCGGAAAGTGTTTTTACCGACGACGAGTGGACTGCACCGGTGCCTAGTGTGAACTGGGAAACTTTTCCTTCTTCTGGTAAGGAAATATAACTACGTCAAGTGCATGCTTCTGTCTAATTAAAATATATAACATTAAATTTTTATAACAGGTGAATCCAAACAACAGCATGGTACAAGCGATGCCGAGATTGGTTCTTGGAGTGTTCGAAAGCGATTTGGAAAGTTGAGAATCGTTGACTCGACTGTTCCGCCTGCTGTAGAAAAGTTACCGGCACCTCCTAGACCACCAAAACCTCCTCACATGTTACCTGAAAATCCTGGTCATAATTATTTAAATTTAGATGGTGCTACCGAAAGCTCAAAACCTACAACTCCAGCGACTCCTGCGCCATCAACTCCCGCAACTGCAATTGTAACAGACGAATCGTACGATTTCCCAAGATCTCATCAACCAGGAGTACCCGAGCCAAGCACAATAGACAAACATTTTTATTCTAATGCTGCTCCAAGCAATATCGAAGATACGCGCGTATTCCGGTACGACTTTCAGGAAGAGGAGCCGTCTAGCCCACGTTCTGAAAGTTCAGCAACTGCTACGTATTCAAATTTACCAAGCCCACTTGTTCGAGATAATTCATCTTCGGTACCAACAACGATGGCCCCACCACCACCAGTTGTCTACCGAGAATTAAAGCCAGGAAGGAAAACTAGCGATTCTACGTCGGTTATCAGTAACGAAGCTTCCCCAGGACCGATAACGTCAGTTTTGGAAATGAGTTCTGCTGAACATTCTCCCGCTGAGCCACCGAGTATTAACAGAAAGCTCAAACCTCCGTTAAATAAATCTCCCGTGGAAGGTAGAAATATCTCTCTCTCTCTCTCTCTCTCTCTCTCTCTCTCTCTCTCTCTTTCACACACACACACACACACTCTTTTATTCAACTTCAAGTAGGAAAGATAGAAAGAATGTTTGAATAGGATAATTAAAAATTGTTCGTGTTATAGGACCTTTACAATTAGCCTCTCCACCTGGAAGAGGAAGAATTAGAGCGGCTCCTAGTCCTACACCTCCAACTCACGTTCATTCGAATCGACATCAATCAACATCGGATGAAGATAATAATGCTTTCGACGATAAAGAAGAGGTACGTAAAATACTTTCTACGTTATGTTAATCAGTACCATTTTATAAACTTCATTGTGCGTTGATATAAATTTTGTTTCCCCTTTTCAGATATACTACTATCAAGATCAAAATATTCCTGCTTCGAATAGACGCCTTGTTGTTTTGCAATATTTAGATCTCGATTTGGAAGCAACAGAAAATTTCACTTCTTCAAGCTTACCACCTACTCAGTCTCCTCCAAATACAACAGTGTATAAAACAGTGGATTTCTTGAAAACTGAAGCGTTTAATCGCACTCGTCAACGAGTCGAGGAAGAGAGGAAACAATGTACAGATGAATTGGCATAGTTTTGAATTTTGTTTCCTAGAGCTTTTAGCATAACAAAGAAGAAGAGAAGAAGAACCGCAACTTTCTTTTAGGTAGTGTATAATATTGTTATCATTTATTAGCACTTCACGATATTACAAGGCTGCGATTCCTATGCAGTATTTAGCGATTCTTCAAGTGCCTTTTAAATTTGTATGTTTGTTATTAAATTGAAGATTATTTGAAATCTTCGTTATCAATGATATATGATAGATGGAAACCGAAGAGAGCAATATTAAATGGACCAAAAATGTAATATTAAAGTTAAGAGAAAAGAACGAAGAGGTAAAAAAAGAACAGTTTCGCGAGAATCGTTGTATCAGAATTTGTTACAGAATTTTTAATTAGAAGAGTAAGTATTATTACTTTTAGGTACGAACTGTTTTTACATAGATTTTACGTATGTCTGAGACGAGAAAGAGGCATTTTTATTGTAAACTATGCAACGAGTTTTGAATGTATGGCATTGCTGAAAATTTTAGATATCCTAATTTTAAGTATTAAGCGAATAATATGTAATATATTTTCAAAGTGCCTGAATTTATTGTTTTCTTTTTGCTAAGGTGATGAGTTGTTTGTTATTGCATGGACAGTGAAATATGATATTTATAGTTACAAATTTGATGGATGTATAAAAGTTGTTTCACAACTTTTTAATATGCTGACAATTTATGTCCTTTTTTGACATTTTTAGATGGTTTTTTTTTTTTTAAGTATAACTTTTAATATAATTATTAACAGTGTACTCATTGTACCTGCTGACAGAAATTTATAACGCGTGGTAATAGAAATTTTGGCCATAAAATTACAATACAGAAGAGACACCTATACACCTTTTAACAGCTATTAAAGCACAGATTATACGTTGCAATTATATGCGTACACATGTGCATATATGTATTCAAAGTACGTGAAAGTATATTTTATGTATAAAAAATACATATATGTTTTAATTTTATAATAGCTGTACTGTAATTTTTGTACCAATGAAATTGTTACGTCATCGAAAAGTTGAACGTATGTATGATTAAAAGAAACGTGTTTGCCGGGGTTTCAAGATGTCCTTAGCGAACAAAGAAAATGGATAGATCATAATTAGAACGTAATTTTTAAGTTTACATAGGTACACGTGATCCTAAAACAAGAAATGATTTCCCACCAAATTTGAAGATTAAGTTTCCAAGCTATATGCGTTAATGCGCATTATTTATAGTATTGTGTGACATGCGCGATACGTATCAACGAGAAAGAAACGCAAATACAGCATTAGCAGCATATCTACATTTTTCCAGAGATTTATATGTTGTTAAAAAAATATTATCTATCAAATCGTATCACGTTTAAATAATTTTTCGATCATTAACGGTTAGCACGATTAAACTGTAGTGCAACGAAAATTATATCGAATATTTACGCGATTAAATAAAAGTAAGTTTTTCTATAAATAACCGTTAAGTGTAAAAAATATATTCTTACGATTTTTTTGCGATATAACGATGTAACATTTTTCAAACAACAATTCGCAAACGTGTTGAAAAAAAAATACGAAATAAGAATTTTTAAAACGAAAAAATTGTTCGTTATTTGTACTTATCATTACTGGTGTTGTCTTTTATAATCACCTAGGATATTTATCAATGGTATCGCTAATTAATTCTTAATAATCGCGATTACTTCAGTTCCGATACAATTCTCGAAGATTACACGTATTTATTGATAAAAACAGAAAAGACGATTTTGCGTATCTCTTGTGTAGGTTCTTGTATCGTCAGTTGATAACATATCCTACTGTATCGACTCGGCACGAAAAGGTCGTTAGAACGTTCACGCATATGCTGCCAGGTTATTGGCCTGGTTGGTGGTTGGTGGAACCGATGGAAAACAGAGCCTCATTCGCTCGCTAACCGTCGAGCGTGCGTTAGTTTTGTTTGTTTTCGGGCTCGTCGCATACATTGTTTTCTTTCATCGCGTAACGAAATTGCATCGTGTAGTACTAGAGGCTTTACGCGACGCGACAAACAATACACGTCGGGGTGTTTCTTCCTTTTTTTTGTGTTGAATCTGTGAAGCATTGAATCTGTTGTGTTTTTATTTTCCTGATCGTTTTACCGAAAAGTGTGCTCTCTCCGACTTTGTGTGATCGGCCTGTTTTACTTTTGGAACCGAGGCGAATCCGACGAACTGGAAGGCTGTGAAAACAATCGTAGCGGCATTTCGACTTTTGTTTTCAAGGTAAGCGCGTAGCAGTTTTGTATACATTGCAACGTACGTCGTAATTTGGGTTCCACGTGATGATCGATCTGCTGCCACTTGTTGGCCACGAAAATGCCTATCGATCGACGTCGATTGGATTTTAACAATTCGTCTAATTACACGTCTTCGCGTTTCTTTTTCCCTAACGACGGTAATTCGATGTTCGACAGCGACTATAACCCGTCGAAAGTAACCAACATTTTTATTTGTTTTTACGTAACATTTTTATCGAAAATACGATCTTTCGAAAATACATAACCAAGAAATAAATAAATTTCTTGCGTTCTTTCACGAGTTAGACGTAAGGCGAACGAAAATATTTCCTCGCGTCGTTATTAACTCGGTTTTCTTAATTTCTCAAGCAAACAACGCGAATTCAAAGTCGAACGTGGTTAGAGTGTACGGTGCCTGTAGGTTTCTCGGCCACTTGTGGATTTTCCAACTAACCAGCTGAAACGATATAGTCGCTCGCATTACCGTTCCTGACCCTTCTCGTCGCTGCAGCGTGACATTCGTTACGAATATCCGGATCGGTATTAGCATCGATTCTCTGTGTATTTTATCTTTGGAGGCAGAGAGGGAAAAAGGAAAAAGACGCATGGAATCATAGAAGGGAAGTCACCTCGAGATGCTCGTTGTAAACCGTAGCCATTTTATTAACGTTTTCGCGCGTTCTTTAGCATCTTCTTTAGCATAAACTGTCAACGAGAAGTTTCCTGCCGAACAATTAGTTTCTCAAGAGTCAATCCCAGTTGTTTCGTCAGGCTAACAATGTTTATGGTTTCCCTTGCACATGCAACGCCAGCTCGTTATGCATCCACATTGTTGTTGCGTTATTGGCGGTTATTGCGAAGCGCTGCGGAGTAAGTGAGAAATTCTCATGCACAATAACGATCATTATCGGTAACGCTGTTCGGGCGAGCGTAATACAACGCGTACATTCTTTCCAGGGCTTTGCGCAATAGCCTCGCAACGAAAAAACTCGAACTTGGGTAGTTTTCAATGGAGGCTCCTCGTATTCCGTTCATCGAATTTTCTCCGACGCAAAACCATTTCGTCGAGAAAACCTAACCCTACCGCGCAGTACGATGGAATCAGAGAACGGGAATTCGGTCGATCCGAGGACGAAAACGCATCGGCGTGTCGGTGAAGAAACGTCTGAAAATAGCTGCAGGCCAGTAGCCGTCGTTTCGAATCCCATTAGCGGTTTGATAACTCGGCGCCGTTTCAGACGAAAAAGTATCCGCTTCGATATCGGTTTCTTTTCGACGGTGGCGCCTCGTTATCCCGATATCCGAAGCTGTTGCTCCGTTCGGATTCTTTTGTCAACGGACTATACGAAGTTCGGCGTTTTCCTATATACCTCGGCCAGAGGAATAAACTGCCGACGCGTTACCGTGGCTTTCTATCGAGTGAAGTGCGACTCGTCTCGTCGCGACTCGACGCGCCATTGCGCTGGCAAAGAAATTGGAAGACGAGAGCCACAAAGGGTGATCGAAAGCGTAAAGAAACGTTTCGAATCCGCCATTCGCCCGCCTCTTACAATCCTCCGTGCTTCTCGACAAAATAATCTCGCGTATTTACCTATGCTATTCGAAGATGGTTTCGCAATGGTTCTCGCGTGGGATTGATCTTTTCCCGATCACTTTTCCCCGGGATTCCAGGAATCGGAAGCTTTTCCGACGCATTCCAGCCGTTCTGTCGCGTTTCCGTGGGACCGGTTTAGCGCGTCTGACGGGACTGCAGGTACTCAGGGGGCCCGTAGAGACCGCCACCCACGTTAAAAGCGGGATTTACGGGTGGAAAGGGATTTCTTAATTTCCATGCAACGTTGGTCGAGCCTGGAGCGTCTGCGAGCTGTCGCAGCTGCTAAAAATATTTGTTTTGTCACCGCGCGGATGAGATGCGCGTCTCCTTTCGATTCTCGATTTCTCCGGGCCCCTCCGCGGACAGGCAGCGCCACGTGGTGTGCGACGGTTGTTGAAAAACGACGTGGACGAATGGCGTCGGGCATCGGTAACCGGTCGTAAGCGAAGGCCGCGATTAACGGGAGCAATTAAGCGTCGTTACGCCTGTCGTGGGACGTCGCGTTGTTACTTGCACCGTTGATCGCGATCGTTCCATAATTCGCGAGATCAACGGGGCCTCTTGGCTCTATTACGCAACGCGGGGCCGGTAGCTTCCGGCCGCCATGGCGCCTATGAACCGCACCGTTCATTCGCGATCACTGTTGCATTGTCTGGGATTTTTCCAGCAGGAAGTTTCGCGCTTCGATTGTGAGAAATTCGTGGTAGGAGGAAAGGAATAGGTATAAACGAAATGGAGAAATTCCGGAACGGAACGATCCTCCTCGATTGCACGTGCTTCGGAACTCGCTGCTTTCTCGCTCGGAACAAGAGGTACACGGCTAGCAGTGGGAATAAATTACGAACGGATTAAACGACTCTCGTCTCTATGGTTAAACAGAAATTAGATTGCCATCTTGTTCGGAGCCGCGTTCGGACAATGAGTTGCACGATTCCGCGCCGGAACGCATTAGCGCCTTTTCCCCCTTTTCCCTCCCTTTTCACGCAGACCACGTCCAGCCCGATATTACGCATTACACGTCGCTGACTGCTGCAACAGGCAGGAAACGTGGCGGTTAAATCGCCTTCGGTACCTTCGGTCTCGGTCACTCTGCGAAATTTCCTTTCGGTTCTCCGTTCGTTGCCAGGATCTCGCGAATTCTCGCATTCGCGACAGCGCGTCCGAAACGATGGACGAAGGTCAAATTAACGCGACTAGACATCCGAGACGTTGCACATCTAGAGTCATTCGGTTAATTAAGACCGTCTATCAAGTCTGCTTACGAATTCCGCGAGTCGAAGAGTCGGATTTCACCGAGAGATCGGCGCGGAAAGGATCGCAGCTGACGATCTCGCGAGATTCGCGGCGGAATAATTAAACGCGAGCAGGCTATGCCCGGCAGGAATCATGCACGGATTCATCGCGATGGTGGAACGAAAGGTTTTC